GGTCCTTCTCCCAGGCCTCCAGCTCAGAAGCCCTCACTGCCATCGCCGCGCACTCAGCGCGGGCACTCTCCAGATGCCGAGCCTCACGCCGGCAATGGCCTCCTCGCGTTTCGCGAGTTGCTCGCCCAGCCAGCGTGAGGCCACCTCACGGCGGTTCACCTCGGCTTCGCGCTCGGCGAGTGCGGCGTCCCGTTCCCGGCACGCCTCTTCCCGGAACCATAGCTCCTCCGCGTGGCGGGCCGCTGAAGCTTTCACGGCGAGGGTGATCCGGTCACGCTCGGCTGCGGCCTCCTCACGAAGGCGAAGGGAGGCCTCCGCCTCCACCGCCATTCTCTCATGGACGGCCAAGGTGGACTCCCGTTGATCTAGCAGACGCGCTCGATCCTCCAGCGCCTGAGCCCGCCTCTCCAGCTCCTGGGCTCGCTGCGCCTGCTCCTGGCTGCGCGCGTCCTGCTCGCGCTGGCTCTGGTCAAGGACCTCGATTCGCCGACGAATCGTGGCCTCAAACTCCTGCGCGGAGCGGGCACGCTCATCTAAGGCCTTGCGTTCAGCCTCAAGCGCCGCCGTTCGAGCCCGCAGCGAGGCATCGGCCTCCGATACCCGCCGCTCTTGGGCGGCAGCCGCATCGAGGATACCGCGGCATCCTTGACCCTCTTTGCCAGGTCCTCGGCATGGGCCTCGTACTGTAAGCGGATGTCGCCCAGCACTTCGCCCAGGACGCTTGAGGCAATCAGTGCTGCCTGCCGCTCTTCCTCCGTCTCCCGCATGACAGAGTCCAGCGTCTCCTCGCGCGCCTGGATTTCAGCTAGTTGGGCTTGGCGCATTTTGTGTCCCACCTTCACCATGTCGTCCACGGCGCGGCACCCCTCGTCAACCCGCGCGCGGTCCGCAGTGAGCTGTGCCCACTCTGCCTCCAGGACCGCTCGCTCTTCCGCCAGGGCTTGAACTTGGGCGTTGAGCCCCTCCTGGACGGTGGAATTGGCGGCGGCGAGCACCTACAGGAGCGGCTCCAAGCTTGCCGAAGTCGGAGTCGGAGAAGAAAAAGTTGCGGTCCGCCCCCGAGACGACGGAGTGCTGCTGGATCCCCCGCGAGACAGGGGGCTGCTCTCAGCCCCCCTTCTGCGCGACCAGCCCCGAGGGCGCCCCAAGTGCAAGGGGGAGCGGTTGTTCCTCTCGCCCCCCACTTCGGGCCCTCGGGTAGATTCGGCCTCGGCCTCGGGCTCGGGCCCGCCCGCAGTTTTGGCCTCGGCCTCGGGCTCAGGGCCGTCTCCGGCCTCGGCTTCCGGGCTGCGACCTCCCTCGTCCCCCGCTCCCGGGTGGCGCTCCGCATGGATCCGGGTCTCAGAGCCGCCCTCGGGAGGGACGTCACCGCCGCTATCGCTCGCGGCGGGTCGAGTCCCGGCTGAGGTGAACCCAGGGTCGGACTCGGTGTGCGGCCCGTGGGCCCCGCCGGGAGGCTGTGAAGGCCCCGCGGCCCTGGATCGGCCAAGTCCGGGCCGCTCTGATCGTTCGGATTTTGTCCCCTGCAAAGGGTCGGACCTCGAGATCCCCAGGAAGGAATCTCACTACAAAATAACCCTGATCGCGTTAACGAAGAAAAAGAAGAGGAGGGAACAAGAGACCGAGATGAGTAAAAAGCACCGAAGCGGGTGCCGGCAGTCGTACCTGCGGGGAGGGCGGTTGAAAGTCCACTTCGGGGGCTCAATGAAGCTCCCCCGACACGGCTCCGTTTGGCCTATCTTCCAGAGCCGCTTCTTCTTCCGTCCGGCCTCAGGCGCAGTGGGGCGCTTGTGGCCCGCCGACGGTCGGTCCGCCCCGCGCTCGGCGCCCCCTCTGTGTGGGGGAGAGGGCGGTCGAGATTCGGACATCTTCCGCTTCCCTTTCGGGTCGCTGGCCGAGTCGACCCCGGGTCCGCGGCTCGGGCCGGGTGCCCTGGAGCTGCCACCCCCGCTGGGGCCGCTTGTCCGACTCCCGCCTGTGGTCAACCCGCCACCACCCACGCCGATAGCGCTACCACCGGTGCCGCCCCGGCGGGACCGACTCCTGCTGGCGCCGATGGCCGACATCACAGCCAAGATACTCTCCCGGTCGCGGTCGCTACAGAGGGGAAGGATCCCGTCTGGAATCAGTGTTTGCTCGGCAGTGTCCACACCCAGCACCCGCCGAATCACCGTCTTCGCGTCCTCCTCGCCCCAGTCCCAGCGCTCGCCCACATGCGTGCGCATGGGGTCGTTAGGTCCAGTGTACTCCCACGCGCCATGGGATCGATCTTGGAGAGGCGCGATACGGCGGCGGAAGTAGTCGCCAAAGACCATTGCCCCCGTGAGGCCAAGGCTTCGCAGGCCCCTGAGGCGATCCCGCACCGCGCCGTACTCTTCGCCCAACTCCGAAACCGCTAGCCATGTGGCGGATCGTTCGGGAGGGCCAGCGGGAAGCCGAAGTCGCGGGTGGTCCAGCAGCGCGGTGTAGAACCAGTCCTTCTTTCTGTCCTCCCATTTCTTTCGGAGATGGCTCTCGATGTATTGCCCCGCTGTGCCTGGCCGGGGCTAGAAGTAACATCCCCCCACCACCGCGCCTTGCAGCAGCTGCCGGACGAAGAAAGACTGGAACAGCCGCATCGTCGGTCGCACCCCGATGAACATCTCGCACAGATGCGCGAAGATGGCCAGCGTCATCACGGCGTTGGGTGCGAGATGCAAGGCATGGATCTCATATAAATCCAAAACCTCGTGGAAGAATCCAGAGAATGGCGGGATCAACCCCGCCATAGCAAAGGACAGGAGGTGCACAGATCACTCCGGGTACCGCGGCCGCGGCCGCGACTCCCCCGCCATCACGGCGGCGCCTTCCGACATGATCTTGCGGGGGAGACTAAGGTGCCTATCCGCCGTAATGCGCGATGCCGGAAGCACTGCGTCACCAGCATCTTGAGCCATGATGACCGGCGGAGAAACGGTGAGGGGCTTAGCGTGCGGGGTAGCGTGGAGTGGCGAGAATGTTAGGGCTTAGGGAACGAGTTTGCGGGTGAGCAGTTGGCGAAAGGAAGGAGGCAAAGTCCCCGCCTCCGTATCCTTTTATCCTTGCCTCGCCCGCACTCGCCTCCTCGTTTCACGCCCTCACGGTTGCCCCCACGATTCTCGCGCCCGCAGTTGCCTAATCGTTTCCCGCGACCACTCATCACGTCGCCCACTGAATCCACGCCCCGCATTCAGTGCGCCTGTCAGCGGCACACTCGATAAAGGGCGTGCGACGGTCACGGGCGCAATCTAGGCGAACCGTCACCAGTACCGCCACATGCGTGGCGGGCGAGGGAGTCGAGGTGTGGTATAGCCGACCCCCTAATTTTCACGCCTTAAGCATCCTCATCATCAGCGCGGTCAGTGGCGATCAAACCGCTGTTGTGGTTGATACGCCGACCTGGCCACTCGGCAACATCCGCTTAGGTTCCCTGCCGGGCCCGCAACCCCAGCTTGGGAAGTCGTGAGGCACCACGTCAGACCGACCTCAGGAGGCCAATGTCCGATATGGTGCCGGGGGCTACTGTCGGAGATATGGGCTCGGGGGTATGCGAAGTGTGGGGAATCTACCTTCCCATCCTGCCATGTGTCCCTACAGCCTGGTCCTGCCCCCGCAGTCCGCGAACCGCAGGAGCGGCCGGGGGGGTCGGGGCCTCGGGGTGCCACGTCATGCCCCTCGGGCCCTTGCACCGCTTTGCCCCGAGGCCCTCGCCCAGCCACCATTTGGCGGGGGGAGCGAGCGAGGTGAGGGCCCAGGCTGAGCCTCCTTTAATGCGTGCAACGCCCCAACTGCCCCCTGTCACATTTAATGTAGTGGGGGCAGACGTGCGGCGTGCTAAACTGACGCGCCATAGTCAAGAATGACCGGTCTGTGACCGGCCTAACGCTGGTCACGTCTGACTGGACCGACAACCGTGCTCCCACGTCGCATCTGCTTCTGGCGGAGTAGAGGTAGGTATGACCCGTCCCATCGGAGGGTCATTCGGACGGCGGCCACCACAAGTCTTCACCCATTAATGAGGGAATGACAGGGCTGTCCCCCGTGTCATGCGAGGGACGGCGCTGAGCCCCATTCAAGGACAAGCTGTGGTTCAGGTTCCAGGCGAAGGCACGGGTCGAGTTCCGGTCAAGATAGGGTGGGACCCCACCCGAAAGAAGAGTAGGTAGAGGCGGTGCATGTGGTATCCCCTTGAGATATAAAAGGAGAACCTTGCCCACCGAGCAAAGGGACGATTCTCAACTAACTTGGGCTCTAGGAGAAGAGTGTTCTCCCGAGTTTAGGAACCCTTGTAACTCTCAATCTAAATCCCAAACACAGGAGTAGGGTATTACGCTTCTCAGCGGCCCGAACTTGTATAATTTGATTGTGTGCGAGCTAGCTAGGGGCCTTAGGGATGGATACGTTTCTAGAGGCGAGTTTCTTCCCCCGGCCGAACTCACGAAAGGGGGGTTTCACGACCTCCCGCTAGAGAGGATCATCCCTCGACAATCTCCCAATCACGATGTGGTTGTGCTGCATAGGTTTTAAACTTTTGAGGAGATGTTTTCTCATTGTTTACATATCGCATATTAATTAATAATATAGATTAATATATATCGCATATTAATTAATAATATAGATTAATATATGATACAAGTTAAAATTCGACTACTACAAGTTCAAAAAAAAAACTATAGTTAACGGTTAAATTCTTTTCTTTATGTTGTTGCAACTTGTAAAGGTTAAATTTATCTTTTATGTTTGTGAAATAATCTACTGATCTATCACATATTAATCCTATATTGTTGATTTTTTTCAGTTTTTTCATAACAATTTAAATGATATTTAAATAATAAGTGATGTCCCTAAAGAGCTCCTTATAATCATTTCCCGTACATCGGGAGGAGGATTTGTACAGCGTCAGGACTCACGACAACGGCGTGCAGAAGCAGATCACAGTTGCAGCAGTTTCTACTGCCTGGCAGCAGGATAAACTCCCAGCATTAACATCACATCTAGGCATCTATATTGATAATAGTTTCTTTTTCCAGGGAATGCGCACAAATATGATGCCTGGAACAGATGTCATTCACCAATGTGTTACATTTAGCTGGTTACTGGTCAGAGAAACAGGAGGGAGGGAGGGAGGGAACATTTGGAATTTTTTACATGGAGAGAACTCCACATGGAAAATGGAAAAAAAGAAAAAAACTCCATCGAGACAATTTGGAGAGGACTTAAAGTGTTCCTTCAAGAGACAAACTATGAAGTGCTCTAGATAGATCGCTAGTCCTCAGTACACATTTTCCTCCCAGAATTTTCATTCCTGTCAAGCAGCAAAACAAAAATGTTCTAATAAGCTACAGTAGTAAAGAACTAAATCACATAGGCATGCTGTCAACACTACAGTAAAGCCTATAAGCAATAGACTGAGATGTAACACTGCCAAACATCTCGTTTGAGTTTTATCTTTTTTCTCTTTGTTATTTTCAAAACCGGTGTTTCCTCACTACTCAAATATGACCAAAGTATTTAACAGCACATGTGATTATTCTGAGAAAACGGTAGACATCTCCTAAGCCAAGTTTTCTTAAAACCAGGTAATTTGATTCCTTTGAACCATAAACTGTTTTTAATGTCAATTAAAACGTAATACTATGAAGTTCATTGAAGATAATCTATTCCAGTGAATACCATCATATTACTATCATTAAAAGAAAAGAAACAGTTGGTTGAAAGGCATTTTTAGGATACTCACCCCAAAACTTTGCATCATTTTCGTCAGTGGATAACAGAACCTCATGGATCTGACAGTGCTCTATGACTCCCAGGCTCCAAAATTGATTCCATCGGATCATCCATCCTACCCACAGCAACAGATGAAGGTATAAATAGATGTTGGACAGATTCAATTTCAGTAGTTCAAAGTACACCTCACCTCTCTCAAGTAAAAACTGATTATCAACCAAATACACCAGAGTACATAGGCTAGAGGAAAATACAAAATAGAAGAGAGAGAGAGAGAGAGAGAGAGAGAGAGGAAGAAGAAGCAATTAATCTGGCATACCCTGTAAGATGTGCTGGAAATTTTGGTGGCCAGATCATCAGCAGTGGATATATTCTTTCAATATCCCCATCCTCGGGACAGATTTCGTAAACCTTGGTCATGTTCTTTGCAACGATGTCCAATAAGAATATAGAATCATCCAGCTTTAGAAATGCTGACTTCCCAGCGTTTGCGATTCCGAGAATACTGACATGGGCACACGATTCTCCAGCCTCTGTAACGGATGCTTGAAGTATATCATCCCTTGCAACAGAATGAGATAATGTCCATGTAATTTGAGACAAGTTGTGAGTCCACACTTGAAGTTTTGTGGGGTGGAGACATACGAGAGTAAACTCATCCTCGAGCTTGCCTTCGCACAGATCAACCTCATCACAATCTTCCAATTCAATCTCATCAGTAATATTCACTTTGGTCAACTCCAGAGTCTTGCAATCCAACACAATGATGATGCTGAAGTTAGTGAGGAGAAATAATTTTCCAAAAGCATGAACTCCTAATGGTATGACCAGCTCGGCCTGTTCATCAGGTCCTGGGAATGAAATAGTGTCGGACGCACGACCAACCCAGATGCCATCAACCAAATGAAACAGATAAGCTATCATGCACTTGCATTTGTAGCCTAAAGCCAGTCGGTAGTACTCTCTCCCATTACCACCATCCTCAGGAAGAAATTCATGGAGGTTGTAGGTGAAAGAACGATCTAGCCACACTTTCAGAGGGGTCTGTGGGTAGACAGAAATATCAGCAGGCGGAAGAAGAGGACTATGCACCGCAAGTTTCCCATAGATTTCGACAAGCACACGCCCATTTCTGGAATCCCACATGCTCAAGGGCACATCGCTCCACGCATCGAAGTGTCGGCTGGCGCGGCCGAGGAGAACACCTAGCTCAGGAGGATGGCCTTGCAGGGCTACGAAGCGAGGGCAAGAGAGTACCGAGGAATCGATGTAGAACCCCAGCGTCGGAGGGGGGTGGAGGCTGCGGAAGCGGCGGAGGAAGACCAGGTCGGAGGCGTTGCGGAGCCAGGACTTGCAGACGAGGGAGGCGCGGACTAGGCAGTGGGGCAACGCGACGCGGACGAGGATCTCGCGGAGGAGGTCGTCGTTGTCGAAGACGCTGGAGGTCGCCGTAGCCGTAGCCGTAGCCGCCATGGCCGTCACCGTTGCTGATAGGGATAACCGCGCCATCCCCTCCGATGCAGCACCATCACCCAGCTCCCCGACGGCCATTTTCTCTTGAGGGGAGGGGAGGAGAGGGAGTGGAGGTTGACGAGGGAGAGACGGGGAGGAGGACGACGACGACGAGGAGTAGGAGGAGAAAGGGGAAATTTCGATACCCCGCCGCCGCCGCCGCGCCGCTTGATCAACCAGGGGAAATTTTCGTTTCTCCGTGCACAGTGACTTCTGGAAACTTCGGGAATCCCGCGGAGACTTCTGGAAGCAGCAAATAGATTCTGGCCTCCTGTGTCACTTGGAAAATTTACACGCAGGAACTAGGAAGTACTAGTAGGAGACTACTAGTCATTCCCAATGAAATACACAAATAAAATAACAGGATCGCTAACCATCATTCGGCAGACAATCCACCTTTTTAACTCTTGAGAATTTCGGACAATCCGAATGAGAAAACATAGAAATAGAAAAAAAACATGATTTTGATAGGAATATAAGTGTAAAACAGATGATTGCAATACACAGGAAAAACACATGAATGGTCGTTTGATTGGACTGCAGGAAAAATACAGGAATTAGAGAAGAGATAAAGACTCAAAGGAAAGTTTCCAAGAGGTTTTACCTCATGTTAGAATTCCTCCAAAACTTGCATGGCATTAGGCAATCCATAGGAATTTCATAGGATTCCATAAGATCCATTCCTTTGATTCAAAGAGCTATATAGGAAAAATTCCTATAGGAATGAAATCCTCTAAAATTCCTATGAATTTCCTTTGAATCAAATGGGGCCTTATCATTCGTGTTCCCCTTTTCCTTCAGCTCTAGTGATCTACTCGTCTTCTCCAACACTTGCGACACCTTAAATTTTGGTAGAGACCTACGAATTAGGGTCTCGAGTTAGGGTCAGGGTGGGTAGGGGGAGGTGGAGTTTGTTAGTTTTAATGGGATGGCAGAAACAGCCTAGTGGTGGGTGGTGGGTCAGGCATGCAGCGAGGTGATGGCAGCGCCACCAAAGCCATTTGGTCAAAAGCGGGCGTTGGGCCAGTGAGCAGTACGGAAAAAGTAAAAGGACCAATAAGGAGGCGAAGGCCGGTGGTGGTGGATCCGATAGCACCGAAGATAGGGAATAAGGCGATACGGGGGTAGCTCGCTGCCACTGGCTTGACGAAAAGAAGAGGGGAGGGATGGGGCATGACGAAAAGAAGAGGGGAGGGATGGGGCAGGGGGGAGGAAGCCCGTTGACCGGGGAGGGGGCTGGGGGCTCACCAGAGCCGTTGTTGCCCTCCGGCCAAGCGGTAGCGCGGTGGGGTGGTAGAGACGGGGGATCGGGTGAGCGACGACGCACTGATGGTGTGCAAGGGGAATGGAAGGAGGAGAGGAGTTAGGGTTAAGGGGGTGCTACACGAATCCTAAAACAAATCGAATGGTCCAGGAAACACAAGATATATGGTGGGATTTTCTACACATGTTGATGTTGACACAAAATCTGGTGCAACAAAATGAAGGCCTAGGAGATCTGCGCGGTTTCTGAAACGCTGAGCAGTACTCAAGGGATTGCAACTATTGAAGGAAGTTGTGGCCGATGCAATTGAGATTATTGGTGTCCCCAGCCCCCTTTGAAACCTCGACCCCATCAGCCTGTGCCCCTGACCGAGCCAAAGTGGTGTCCCTAGCCCCCTTTGAAAACTCGACCCCATCGGCCTGTGCCCCTGACCAAGCCAAAGTGGTGCAGCCAGACCACGTATTTTTTTCGCCCAAGCGCACACTAACATGGCATCGCTACAGTAAAAAACCATGAGGTGGCGTGCTAATGTGGTCCTCTTTTCCTCCCTCTCTCAAGCATATATGTATGACATGTGGGTCCAGAATGTCAGGAACGAGGTATCTCGACGGAATTGCGGCTATGTGATAATTTCCAGCGTTAATGTTGCAGTTTTCTGAAATGTGGTGTAAAGGTTGCAGCAAAGTGATAGTTTAGTCAATAAAAGTGTAGTTTTCTAAAATTTACTCTAATAATAAGTAGAAATAATACGTAAGATAGCTAGAGAATATAAGCTTATATAAGTTGATGTGGTTTACGATAATTATTAAATAGTATATAGAATGATGATTCAAATGTAAAAGTAAGCTAATGTGGCTTTATGAGAAAAAAAAGAGAGAGATAATTTGGATAATAGATTAATCATCTAAAGACAATTATGTGCAATATGTTCAGCAAAACACAATTATGTCCCAGCGAGTTCAATATTATCCTACAAATATAATAAATTATACATAAAATCAATTTAACTGATACTCAACACATCGTATAAAATGAACACCATATATAAGAGTGCTTTCCCAATTTCAATTGCACGCACGTTTGAATGAGTCAGTTTGCGGTACTTATTAATACAACTCAAAGCTTTCACTTCAGTTTAACACTTCATTCCAGACACAAACGAAGTGTTTTATTTAATTGTTAGCTGCAATTCACAGTAACAATGCATCACTGCAGTAATTTACAACCACCATGTTAGTTTATCCCCATGACATACGACCAGCGCTGTTACCAGCTCCTCCTCCCTTTTTTCCACTTGTCATCTTAACCAGCAGTTGTTGGTGCAAATGTCGCCCTGAAGGATCATCCTGCATTTGCAATAAGAAAAAAAAAAACTCTAGTCAGAAGTTGATTGCAATTTACCAGTCTATTCTAATATTTGCTCCAGTGTGGTGATAATGAATTATTAGCGACAAAATAATAACTATGGTGCATATCTCACCCTAAGACAGCTGTTGAATGTGCCATCTTTCAGCTGAGGAGGAAGGCAAGTCTGCAGTGCAGCGAAACCCCTGAATTGAAGAGGGAAGGAAATGGACAAACGACATTAGTGCTTCTGAAGGAGAAATATGAAAACATAATTCGGTGACATTTAAGCGATAGAATAAACCTAGGATTCTCTGACATCCTGAGGTAACAACGGATAACGTGTTTCAGCAACCTCTTGGAAGGCTGATCAACCATTGAGGTAACCACGGTTGCTAAAGCAGCTCCCACAGCATAGAACCGATCAGCATTGGCACAAACATAAGCTAGACCGGCGTCATCTACGACAATTTTTTCAGTGATAAAAGTTGCCACCTGCATGCATATTTGACTGAATCAGTTTACGAGAGCAATGGGTTTAAAAATTAGCAGACTAAGGGACCATTTTCAGAACATCAAGTATAGTTTATGGTACCTATATTTGGTTTTAGGTCTATTTTTTGGGGGGAAATAACCGATAATTGGTGATGACAACCTAGCGTGGCCGTTGGTTATATGTGCTAATTTATGGTTTGTTTGGTTATATATAATCCAGAAAAAGCGAGCCACTTAATTTAATGTAAAGAGTATTCATATATATTAAAATTATATAGATACAAATATGGTATACTGAGTGAGAGTAGTGTACTTCACATATTACATGATCAAAAAATAGCTAAGAGTACTCAAAAGTCAGTAGATGGCCACTAGTTTGAAGCATTCAATCAATGAATTGATGCAAAACTGCATGATCGACCAGGCCTAAAGCACATTTTGAATTGACTAGTAAAATGCCCAAGCTTTGCTATGGGCAGAAGAAAAAAAAATCATAATATGTCATACCAATATATATATATATATATATATATATATATATATATATATATATATATATATATATATATATATATATTTTATCAAATACCTTACTATTACTTCTTTACTTATTTACTTATGTTATTCACTTGTTTGGACCAAACGTTGGACTATTCCATAATAATACAAAATATCATACGGTAATTTATAAAAACTACAAAAGCAATAGCAAGGTTAGAGATGCAAGTGGGCAGTCCCGCTACCCACATAAAAACCCATTTGCTAGTTCATTTCCCACATGGTAGTACAAAATTTTAGAAGAAAAAAATAAACTAGAAGTGACTTAAGCGGGCTAAAAAAACCCGCTTGCCCGCCCCGCTTGCATTCCTAAGTGGGGTGACAGATTCACTGCCACCACCACTAGAGGCTTTTAAAGGAGTATAGGTGACTCTAGGTGAAAAAAAATTAAACGTGTTCCTTCCATTTTTTTTGACGGGAAAGAATACTGAAGAACTAAAGGTGGTACTCCCTCCGTTTCACAATGTAAGTCATTCTAGCATTTTCCATATTCATATTGATGTTAATGAATCTATACATATATATTTATCTAGATTCATTAACATCAATATGAATGTGGGAAATGCTAGAATGACTTACATTGTGAAACGGAGGAAGTAGTATTTTAAGGGGGATTAATGTGTCTGGCTACATACAGTTTTTGATAATTCACTGCCGATCGTCATATTATGCAGGCATAGAGGAACAAATTCATTTTCCAGCAGAAAATTGATAATTTTTGGATCATCAACCTGCATGCATGTATAACAAGTAAAATAAGCTTCACTCTAAATTCTGGAGTGGTATACTGATGAAACCCAAAAAACTATAGATTTCTTACATGAATGTGCATAAGTGTAGTAAGTGGTGGTACATAAGTGTATAAAGCCAAGATGGTTTATAGTAGTTCTAGTACATAAGTGCATAAATCAATACCACCACCAGTGTTAATGCAATAGTATCTTTTGACATCACAGTTCAGAGATAACGGAGCAAAATTAGGCTTGAGTCTCCCTCAGATCTGATCTGATTATATATGTAATTAAGGAGCTAATTAAAATAAAAATGCTTACTCTTTCAAGAGTTTGTTTTGTGAGACATCTATTAAACTTTCTTAAGATACAACCTATATAATATTGAGACATTCAAGTTTATAATTCTCAGCCGAGTTATTGAGAATTACAGTGGAGTCAGGCTCAGTGAGACTAATGGCTGGTTTCTATCAAAAATTAATAATTGTATCGTGTGGTGAGAAAATTGAGATCAGATCTATATATTTATCAGCAGTTCTGAATGCATACTATAAGAGCTAGATGTGTTGTGCTATAACACAGCAATTCTTATAATGTCAAACTGATATTAAGGTCTGCAGAGAGGGGTCTGTTTCATGAGATGTGGCCATTGTTTTCAAAAAAAAAAAAAGCTACTTGTTCATTTATTGCTAATTGTTGTGTGTAAGTTGTTTAGCTCTATATTACACTTGATGAGTATTTCATACTCAGCCTTTTGTTTTATTTTGTTTTAGGTACAAAGTATTTGCAGCATGCATGGGCAGGAGTAGCAGCCTTGATCTGTGTACTTTATCACTAATTGTAAAAATAAAATAATTTACATCATGTTGAGGTTTTCCATGGTTATATATATGGAACTGTTTCTAACATAATTATCATATGATGTGCAAGCTATGTTAAAATCTTATTTTATAAATTGTCATTGTAGATGTCCTTATTTAAGGACATCTACAATGACAATTTATAAATAATATAGTTGTTACCCACTAACTATAAAGTTCAACATGCAAGTGTGCCACATGATCACCCACTAGTAATTATTATCTATAGTATCATAAATCTCATTCAAACATATATTATTTATAATTTTGCTGTATTTTGAGAACTCAACATGTAAGATATGTCAAACCATCCTCTCCACATTATTTTCATATTATTTAAACATATACATATATTTTTTTCTATAATGTATAACATGTATTCACTCAGATATCCTGTAGCATGGTGCAGGGTATCAACTAGTTACCTTAACAAGAGCGCCAATGACACCCAAGCTGGTCAACCGCAAGTACTCAAATTGTTTGGCCTTGTCATCAGTTTCCAAAAATGCACATAGGTACAACGGAATGCGGGCTGAAAAAAAAACAATATCGAAAGATAGGAAACAACAAAATCACTAATAGCAAACAAACAAAAGACTAAAGTTTGTACCATGAATTATTTTACTACAAAACGTAGTATATGACACCCCCAACTATCAATATTGGACATTTTAACCCTTTAGCAGTTTTTGAATGGTTTTTCATACACATGAACGCCACATAGGATGCCACATGTACTAGAGGTCCATGTAAGCCCTTATGCATTATATGGGCCCTGCTCATATTGGCTGCCTACTCGTTGCTCGTTGGCATCATGTGACGGTACATTGATGGAGTGGCGGTGGCACGTTGAAGGAGTAGCGGCTTAGCGACGAGCAGCCGCGGCATGGGGAAGGAGAAGCAGGGAGTAGGGAGCGGGGAGCAGGGGCAAACGGTTGCTTCGTGTGCCCATGGAGGCGGTGGTGAGGGGAAGGAGTAGCGGCGAGCTGCTGCTTCACTCGCTCGCTCAGGCGACATGGCGGGGAAGGAGCAGCAGTGAGCGATTCTTGTTGTAGTAGCCTAATAGGTGGGACCCCCACCCCTCTTCTTCCTCTTCTGACATGGCATCTTTGTACAGGTTGGATCCTTCATCATGTCCACGCATATCAAAACCAACCTAAATCTACTTTAGAGGGTAGTGTTTGGTATTGATAGTTGTGGGGCAAGGGGTGTTATAGCTGGTTTTGTAATTAGGGGTGTGTTTTAGATAAAGACAAGAAGGGTAAAATAGACTTATTTATCCCAAAATATATATGGAATCATAGGTATGATATGTATAGGTATTACTTTTATTTTGCGAGGTATAGTAATATTACATAATAATGAGTGACATCATTGAGGTTGGGAGGAAGATAATTAACAAATTACCCCATCAACATATTTCAGTTTAGACATATCCATGATCTTTACCTTGTAAGAAATGGGTCCTAGTCTCCGAATGTGAAGCAATACACTGCGCAATGCAAATAAATTAAATAAAATATGATTATCATAGTATTTGGTAGATGAGAAAAGGTAGCAATATAAGTGTACCTGAAGAAGTGCTAGTGCATTGCAAACTCGGTTTGAAGCACCTAATGACAAAGTTGGGGGTGAAAGTGCAGGGTAGACTACTATAATCTCCTGTTTGTTTGTCAGTAATAAGAAAAAGTGATGAGTGTTTGTTATACCACACATAAATAAAAGTAAGCTCAGACATCAACAAGTTGAATTAGCACAGTTATTGATATGATCATCAACTCAACTTGTGCTAATGTTGAATTACTAAGAGTGGCTGACATCAAAACCACCTTTTTGGAGAAGACCTCAACAAAAAAAAAGATCACGTAAATAGTACAACACAACAAAAATTACTAATTACTTGTGGGATCAAGCATGATCATACCTGGAGCAGTGAAGCAACTATGCCAAAAGAATTCCACAACAGCAGAGCCAGGTTTTGAAACATCTCTCTTTTCTGAAAAATAGTTTCAAGAAGCTGCATTATTCTTAGGTTTTTCTTTCCATGATGCTGTAATGTGTCAATTGCATAATATGCAATTTACCATTACTTATTCAATTAAGAACAATTACAAAAATAATCAACCTGGCAAATAGAAATTAATTAATATCTCAAGGTAAGAAGATCTATCAACCCTTTGAGACCTCAAGGTGTGCTTTCTCACATAGATTAGTATTAGAAAGGTTGAGGACAAGTTTCTCTGCTAATGCGATGTGTACTGATCCTTCGCTCACTACCAGGTGACACCCAATGTCAGAGCAAGAAAGATTTTTGAGCCAGGCAAACATCACTACTACTATCATTTGCTACGGAGGAAAATAAAGTGTTTTTTTTTCTGTTTCATATAGATGTATGCTTTTATAAATATCTAGGTCTTAGCTTCATTGGTAACATGTAACATTACTTCCTTATAGTCTTGCTCTTTAAGGGAAGGCATGAAGCTTAGCACGCTTGGTGGGAGATGTGCGTGCACACCCTCAACATTCAATCTCTATGTCATGTTGGAATCAACCTATTTGCTTATTTCTTCTCTACTAGTTTGATACTGAGATCCTCCTTAGTATGGTTCATTCTCTTTTGGCACTTCCATGGGAAAGTTCCCCTTTCCTTATGCTTTTCTTTTGTTTAGTTTGTACCTTTTAGAAGTATGTATGTAATGCACATGCCTTTTTATCATAGATAGCTTTGTCTTTATGTAAGAACAAGGGACTTTGCAATGTGAATAAAGTCTGTTCCAATAAGATTTTGGATGTATTTTGGTTTACTTTACATAATTGTCTATACTGCAGTTAAGTCTATTCTACGTAGATCTTCTGAGTTGTGTACACTTTTTCTCAACCTAGCATCTTTTACACGTGCAAATGCCAAAACCCAAGAAAAACAACTTTTGGTCGGTTTTCCAAAAGCCATTCCACCTCTGCATGTATGTAGAAGCTACTAGAGTAATTCCCAACTCCTACCCCTCTCCCTGTTTTATTTATAGCGGCCAGTGGAAACATGAATCATGTGAACTTCGAACACTCACCCTCCTCCTCCCTCCACCCTCCCCCCCTCTCCCACACACTCCTCCTGTTCCCTTAGGCAATTTATTGTCTCAACCACAATTCTTGTAGTTAGAATGCCTGACACTATGTAGTAGTCTAATAATCTTTATGAAAAATATCCAAACCTAGCAAAGGGGCCTTACTATTGTATTGGTTAGGTTAATTGGCATTTGCAGTAATATTGTCACATCAATGCATGCCATGTCACATATTGTCCAAAAATTTACTTAAATATTGCATATTATCGACAAATTTTATTTTATTTTATACATATTTATTTAAAAATTGAGGGAGAAACTAATAGTTATATATGTTGGAGAATATATCTCATATAGCATCATTAGATAATTCCTTTCATGCACAAATCTGCAATAATAAATAATGAAATGCAAAAAGGTGCATCATCTCTTTTCAACTGTCATTTATTCATATCACTTGTATTTGGTGGAAAACAACTCATTAGTATTTTAGTAAATCAAGTTTTACGCAACTTGGAGCCCATACCACTTCTTCAAATAAAAGGAATGATGTAATAGACAATTCCCAGAAAAGATATAAATTACCTTGCGTAGCTCGGAAGGAGCATGTCGTTTGAGTTCTGGATCTAGCAAATCAAGAATAAGACGCTCAACAAGTTCAGGGTCTCTAGGGCTAGGAACCTCACTAGTCAACATAGCAAATATGTGTAGACTAGCTATATCCAATGAAAGAAGTGATATAAAACTCTAAGTCAAACAATCCCCAATGCTTCTACAGGAATAAAATAGAAATATGTGATACATAGGGGCACTACAGCCTTTAAGTAGTGTAGATACAGATGATGTGCATTTACTTGTGTCATAAGAAATCAGTAGAAACTGTTCCAGATAAATGCACATTATCTTGTTGGTTTCTTTATAATCTTTGATGCATGTTACTTTTTCTCTAAAAAGAATCCAAAGTTAAAAACTGCAGCTCCACATCTGCGATGAGTCATGCAAAAGATAAGTATTAGCGGTTCATACCTTTTTTATGTCATTCCTATCGTGTGAAGCACATGACAAAGTGTAAGTTCGGTTCCTTTATTTTTGTTAATATATGACCAGATCACTAATCTTTCTTCAGAGTGAGACAAAACTCACAGGAAAATAATGATTCACATTAGAAATTTTCCCATGAGTTATCCATCAGAATGAAACTCTCAAGGTGGTGGTTGGGTGTGGGCTGGCTGGGGATTCAAGAGAGGAAAGATGTTTTTTTTGGAAAGGAAAGAGGTTAGGGCATGTTCGGATTATAGGATAGGAAAAGTGTACAAATTTAGGAAATGAATCTAAGTGTAAAACAGAGTAATGAAAAATAAAGGAATACAAAAGTTAATAACAAGTTTCAATCAATCTGGTGCATCGGCCCATATTCAAAGATCATATAATTGTTTAATTGATATCTTATAATAATCAATCTTGTACTTATAATATCTCTATTTGGTCCGATCTATTAACATTGGTTTTAATAAAGTTAGAAGATTCTTTGCTGATGTATTCTTTGCTTTATTTTTCAAAATTATATCACATCCAAATCTTCGCTGATGTATTCTTTGCTTTATTTTTCATAACTTATATCCATCTGTTATAGCCGATCGATCCGAAATTCCAACATCAGCTAGGCACATGATTATATATCGGCCTTTTGGCCAATCTGCCAAACGATCTAATCTTTATCTATATCTTGTTAGATCAAACTAACTGACATACCTAAACCCTAATTGATAGGACATGTACTAGATGTAAGCAAATCTCTCAGGCCTCTACAATGAATTTTGCGTCAACAAATTTGTGTATGAATACAAACCGTTTGAGGAACTGAAAATTCTGATGAAAAATACATTGTCTAGAAGCTTCCCCAAACATAACCTTATACTCCCTCTATCCCCTAATATAAGGGAATTTGATATTTTGCTTGCAATGTTTGACCACTCGTCTTATTAAAAAAATTGTGAAAATATAAAAAACGAAAAGTTGTGCTTAAAGTACTAGTATACTAAAGTAAGTCACAAATAAAATAAATAATAATTTCAAAACTTTTTGAATAAGACCATGGTCAAACAGTTTAAGCAAAATATGGAAATCCCTTATATTAGGGGACGGAGGGAGTATTACAGTTAATGCGCAACGCTAATGCCAATGCTGACACCGAAGCGCTCATGTCGATCACCAACGCATATGGCTGCACACCGAAGCCCGTCGCCTCGCCGCCGGTGCAGCCGCCGCCCAGTCATCGGCGTGCATGAACAAGCTAGCTTTGGTCGAAAACCAGCGGTGTCAAATTGATCAATTAAGCACGAACGCTCAATGATCGATCGATTGCTCGATTTTGGACGGACTGCCCTAATTTAATCCTGCTAATGAAATTATTTGATCCCGTTCATATAATCTGTAGTTAATCTCCAGATCGATCAGTCATTTTACTTCTTCCGTGCAGTCAAATCCTATGGGGGTATTGGTAATAATTGTAACTCTCGAACCCTATGGGAGTAGAGATGGAATTGAATTTGGTGATCATTAAAGTTGATGGAGCAATTGTTGCATGTATGCTTGTCGGTTAAACTTTTCATTCCTCATTCCTCTTCCGACGGGAGCTTTTGACGCGTGCATACGACAGGAAGGATGGGGGCGTCGGGCCGCCGCTCCTGAGAGCAAGGCTAATAATATAGCCGACTTGTTGGCTATAAGGTTTTTTTAGCCTTCTTTCAACCTACCCATATAATAGTTAGCTCTTTACAATTAATATAGGGTTCACTTGTCTCTCTCATATAGTTTTTTGGTTCTTGTGTCCAAGCCGGCTGTAAGTTTATAGCCCGCTTCTCCTCTCTCTCCTCTCTTCTCTCCTCCACCTTAGCATTTAGCCGGCTTATAGCCTACTGCTATACTTGCTCTGAGGCGTGCCGCGTGCGGGACAGAAGGCGGCGCCCCGGCGGCTCTTCCAGATATACGAGTAGTTACTTCAAACGAGTCATTGAGGGATCTGTTTTTCCGGATTACCCCTCCGTCTCAAAATATAATAGATTTTGGGTAAATAGGATGCATCATATTATGAATCTAAACATACACGCAGCTCGCTGTCCAGATTTATATTACTAGAATACGTCACATCCATCCAAAATTACTTATATTTTAGGATGAGGGAAATATCTTTTCAATTACTAGCAAAAGTGCCCGTGCGTTGCCACAGGAATTGTAAAAACCAGAAAATTGAGAAAAACTCGAGAAAGATTTATATTATGTAATTAATTGAAATATAAATTTCCGGAAATGTTTGGTATTTTTTAAGTAGGTAGATATATAATTAAATTAGTTATATAAAATTATATAGTTGGATTTAATTTTATTGAATTATCCATGATTAATTACACTATTTGGAATTTTATTGAAATTTCTAGAGTTTAATAGCTAATTTTGATAATACAAGCATTATTTTAGTATTTATTTAAATAAAAAATCATCCTTTCTCTTTAGGCCATTTTCAGCTCGCTTTCATCCCTTCTCCTCCCCTCCGTCTCAACCTGTAGGAAAGCATTCGGCCTAACAGGAAGTCTAATTCGGCTCCCCCTACTCCTCTCATTGCCGTGTGGCCCCCAACCAAAAGTCCAACCTAAGTGCTTTGTTGGACCGGCCGGCCAGCACGCTGCGTAGCAGTGATGCGGCCCAAAGATGGAGGCTAGCCCAACACGGGATCGATCTGAGCCGTTCGTTTCGATGGATGGCTCAGATCGATTTTGAATCCATCAAAATCGTCGGGGTTAAAAAATCCCTAACCCTAATTCATTTTTCCCTCCCTCCCCTCACCGCAGGCCGCCCCTGTCCCCCACCAGCGGCGCCGCTCCTCTCTCCGCACCAACGACGCTCCTCCTCCCACCGCGAGTTGCCCCTTCCCCACCGGTGGCGCCTCTCCACGCCCCTCCCCCACCGGCAGTGCCTCTCCATGCCCTCCCTTCTCCCGCGGTATCGCTCCCCCTTCCTCCCCCCTATCCTTCGGCTCCTTTAATTCCTCCTCATCGGGGTGCCGCTGCCATCCCGCTCCTCGCCACATCCAGCAAGTTGGCGGCACCCCGACGGCATGGTGGCTCAGGATTGGCTCCTCCCTCTCCCTCCCGGCATCTTCCTAGCGCAAAGGCGAGTCAGCGACTTCCCAACGCAACCGCGGCTACTCCCCAGCTCCCTGGCGGCACAGTGGCGGCTTGGCTGATCCCCGATGCAATGATGGGACGGTGGAGGAGGAGGTCCGTCGAGGAGGAACGGTGGCCTCCCGCTCGCCCCTCCATCTCCTCTCATCATCTCTTGATGTTTTGGATGATTTTGTGATGATTCTGATTTGGATTTGGATTTGGATTTGGATTGAGATTTTGTTTTTGGTTGGACTTGGATTTTGATTATGTGGATTTTGATTCTAATAGTATAACCAATTACTAGCTCAAAATCATCTATAGTCAATCTAATAGCCAATTCATACAATAGTTAAGTACAAATACATACTACATCATTAATAATTGGTCACACATGTCATACACGCAGCATCTTGTAGTCTGTGCTACAGCCTATAGATGGCTACAAGTTTATAGCTAGCCCGTTACTTTTTTCTCTCATTTTTTATCTCCTTCATACTCCCTCCATTCCATTCTAAAATATAAGGTATAACCACTCCTAACCCAAAGACCAAGAAAATAATTATTACCATCTTGTACTTTGGATCATAATAAAAATATAATATATGCATCCAATAGAATTAGAAAACATGAGAGTGGGGGATTTAAAAAAGTAATAATTTAATGGAGAAGGGGTCATAGTTAATAGCTTACATACACGCATATCTTATATTATGGAACATCTAAAAAAAGTGGCTGTGTCTTATATTATGGAATGGGAAGTATATGTTTATAGCTGATATATAGTCTGTTATTGTACATGGTCTGTAGGAAAAAAAGTACCCATACAAATTCCTAAAAGTGCCTCATATTAAATACAGTACCAAGTACTGTAAATGAACAACTAATGGCGAGGGTGTGACCGTGAACAGATATCTCGCTATAGACTATATAGATATCTCGCTATAGACTTTATATAGAAAGGCAATATCTAGCTAACCAATTAAAGAGGAACATTTATGAACTAGAACTGCAAGATTAACACCTAGGGAATTGCTTGTGAGCCGGATTCATTAGCAAGCTAAGATATGGTCACCGGATTACCCATTCGGGTAGTAAGCCGTCACCTGGTGAAGGCGTCGGATGCTACCATCCAGCCGCACGTGCTCACTCTCTCCCACATCGACCTCCACGCCGACGACGTCCAGACCACCGTCACCTGCGTCTACCCCAACCCTGCCCCCTCCGGCGCCGGCGATTTCGCCGCCGTCGTCGCCACCTTCACGGCCAACCTGCCGTCCTTCCTCAGCCACCTCTTCTTCCTCACCAGCCGCATCCCCACCAACCCGGCGTCCGGCCCGTTAGCCTTTCCGGCTCCAAAAGGAAAAAGTCCAATTTCACTCCCTTAAATGTCGGTCGAATCTAATCCATGACCCTGAACCGTAAAACCGGATAGGACGACTCCCCGGACTATTAAAACCGGTGCAATTTGACTCCCTCAACGGTTTTGGAGGGCGGTTTCGTTGATGTAGCGCATACGTGGTGGTATTGACTTGGTATTCCTTCCACATGGCGCTGACATGGCGGTTAGGTGGCACTCGAATTTTAAAAATGTGTAGGACCCATCTGTCATTCAAAAAAAATTATAGGACCCACTGGCATGTGGGGCCCACGTGTCATCCTCTCTCTTCCCTCCATCCTCATCCCTCTCTCCCTTCTCTCTCTCTCTCTCCTCACGTCGGCGTCATGGAGCCTCGACTCCCTGTCGTGGGTGTCTCCACCTCGCCACCGTCGGTGCCCCGGCGTCGTCCACCACCGAAGACGCCGTCTTCATCCGCCCAAGCCGTCGTCGTCACCACCCGAGCCCAGCTCGAGCTCGTCGCCGAACCGCCGCCACGATGCATAGCCAAGTCGTCTGCGAGGGCGCCGCCTACGAGGCCGACACCGTCGGCGCCTTCGGCAAGCTCTAGGGCAAGCCCGCCGTCTTCCGCCACGACCGCATGCCCATGTGGCCATGTTCGGGAGAGGCCGCATCATGGCCGAAGGCGACGAGTGGGCTCGCCACCGCTGCATCATCGCCCCTGCCTTCTCCGCCACCAACCTCAACGTAATCAACCAATTAATTCATTCTCTCCATGCACAAGAACACGTGCACTATTCTACATGATTCTAATTGATGGCTACATATGTGCCTGTTGTTGATGATGCAGGACACGATCGGCGTGATGGAGGAGACGACGTCGAAGATGCTCGGCGAGTGGAGCGACATGGTGGCGTTGGGACACAGCTGCATCGACATCGAGAAGGGCGTTGTCCGGAACGCCGCCGAGATCATCGCCAAGGCCAACTTCAGCATCGCCGCCGCCGACGCCACGGTCTTCCACAAAGCTGCAGGCGATGCTGTTCCACTCCACGCGCGCGTCTCGTCGGCGTCCCGCTCGCCAGCCTCCTCCATATCCGCGCCACCTACGAGGCGTGGAAGGTGGGCCGCAAGATCGACGCGCTCCTGCTCGACATTATCGACTCGCGGCGGCGGCGTGAAGGCGGCGGCATGAAGGAGGTGGAGGAGGTGACCGGTTGGTCGGGCCCCATGGACGCGGCGGTGATGGAAAAGCTCACCAAGATGGGGTGCATGCTAAACGAGGTGCTCCGGCTGTATCCGCCTTCGCCGAACGTGCAGAGGCCAGCGGCGTGCGATGCGGAGGTTGTGCGCGGGGAGAGGCGAAATGCGGCATGGGGATTAGGGATTTCGGCGAGCCAAGGAAGGGAAGGGGAATCGGCCGACACACCCTCCGCTGCCGCTCCGGCCCTCACCCGCTCGCCGCCCACCGCCGCCACGGCCGAAGGGGAAAAGAAAAGAGAGAGATAAGGGAGAGAGAAAGAGGAGGAAGAAGAATTGGAGAGAGATGATGACACGTGGGCTCTACATATATTTTTTAATTCCAATGCCACATAAGCGCCACGTGAGACTAAGACCAGGTCAACGTCACCACATCAGCGCCACATCAGCAAAACCACCCTCCAAAACCGCTGAGGGAGTCTAATTGCACTGGTTTTAATAGTTCGGGGAGTCATCTTATCTGGTTTTCTGGTTAAGGTTTTCTGGTTAAGGGTTACAGATTAGATTCAGCCTACTTTTTAAGGGAGTCAAAGTGGACTTTTTCAGCTCCAAAACCATCAAAAGGTAACAGTTTCTTCATTCCAGGCCATACAGAGCACGGCCCACAAGTACTGTACATTTTTCTTTCAGTAAATTGTTACATGGTAGATGGCAGGTAGATGGATTAACAAATCATCCAAAAAAATATATAGCTCCGGCCTAGTTGATTGCATGAAAAAATTGGCGTTGAGATACCATGGCCTTAATTACTTGGATTTAAACTTGAGTACCTAGAATCGTTTACATAGAATGAGGTAACCTCCCAGGTACTCGTGTTCAAGGGTACAGTTGGCATTTTCCAGTTCCAGCACATACTGTACATTCCTCAACATTACCTGCAACGTGTCTCAGGCAGTACTTGATGCGATCATTCATAACATCCTGAAAAACATGTTTGCATGCGATTAGTAAATATGATAAAAAAAAGAAAACAAATCCTGCTCAGTTTGCTAGACATTAGCTAATAGCTATTGAAACCAAAGTTAGCTTGCTTGAAATCATAAGTTACATTTATGATTATGCAAGAATTTCCTGTAAATTTCTTAAATAGAATCTTTCATCTGAACACCCCCTAATATTTATGAAAAGAAGGCGATAAGGTAATTTTGGACTCATTTTCATACGATAGCATCCTCTTCAACACCATCTAAAAGTGATGACAATTGAGAGGATAATCAAATGGATAGCACTGAGACACCTGTACTGAATCTATTTATTGAGGCAAAATCACACTACTTTCTCTTTATATTCAGTGAATATAGAGTTTTCTATTAATCGATACAGACTGCACAACGCTTTTTCAAACAGTGTAAGGAGCACAATCAATCAATTGTCAGAAAAGTAGTAAACATTATTTTTAGACAGCTTCTATAAAGAGTGCACAATGTAACAGTGACACAAATAATCTAGAAGAATTTATAGGGAAATCAATGAGCACATACCACCATAAGCTCATGCAATCCAAGAGGGGCAGTGACAACATAAGTTATGTTTGAGTGCTCCTTAGATGCTTCCGCAGCTAAAGCAGGGATATCCTGGGTGAAAAATATAGTGCCAACTTGAATGAAATTTTTCATCTTAATTGTGGAGAATAATACATAAGGCAAATACCCATCTACCTAGGAAATCATTGCAATAAATAGAAATAACCTGATGAACTTAACACCCTTAGGATTGAGTACTAACAATCTTAAATAATTCAAAGGCATACTTGTTTCCAGTGTCGTCCAGGTGAAAGAAAATATGGACTGACAATAACACGGGACGCTCCTTGTTGCACACATTTTCCAAATGCATCTTTAATAGTAGGCTCAGCTAGCTCCTGCACACATTCATCTACTATAAGAGTGTAATGGAAGGTAAAGTGACAAAATACACAGACCATAGAGATAAGAAAATATATTTAATAATAATTCATTGCCCCAGAAGAACTAGCCATACAGATTAACATTACAAAAAAGAAGGCAATTGGAAGTTGAGGAGTAGATAGAGACACATTTGACAATATATACCTTTCATGAAACAAATTAAAAAAGCGCTCAAGTTACACTTACACCTAATTATGTGTAGTGACTATAGCACCCTTGTCCATGCAACACTGAAAGATAATGTGCATTCCATTTTATAATATTAACATGCTATGCGGGGGAGACAGGACCAGTGTCGTGCAAGTATCCATACAGATTGCTTTTAGAGGTTAGAGATAAGTTTAGAAACAAATTTTGGTTGTCGGCTCTGTTCAGTCGAGCTATATAAAGTCAGGGTGTCAGATTGGTTTCCTTTAAGCAGAAACAAGGTCTCTATTTTCCCATCTCCTGCTGTACCCATTTATTTCCTTCCTCTGGTTAAGGCTCCCTGGCGCAGGGGACCTAACACAACAGAAGCATGATAATACTATCGCACTAACATGTGTCATGACTCACATGTCCCTTAAGTCGCCCTTGACAATCAAATCACTTCACGATTTATTTATGCGATTCCTTCTTGGCAGCATGGATCCACCAAATGGATAAATGTGGAGGCTTGCATCTATGGTTTGAGTATACTATAATTTTATGATGTGGCTTCCCTCCCTCTATCACCAGGTGTACAATCCAAAGATCAGAATAAGATTGAAGTATATGGTTTTTATGTTACTCTACCCAGAATGCTAGCTAAGTGTCTGCAATAAATTGATATCGAAGGGGATCAAAACAAACACATGCATTTAAACAATTAAACTGAACTAAACCTAATCTACAAATCAGCCAATCGAACATGGAGACTACAGATTAATAATCACAAAGACAGCAGAGGGCTTGCACTGCTTTGAAATTTGTTTCACTTTGCATAGAAAACCGAATATGCTACATTTAATACTAAGTCACAATCAAGCTTCATGGTTTCTTATTTTGGACTACAAGAATATTTTTCACAGAAAAAAAAAGCATTAAAAGAAGAGGAAGTAATAAAAAAAGGATTATCTCCTATACTACTGTTGCTCAGCTGTTATGGTCCTCTACTTACAGATAAAAAAAAAACATATTGAGGAAAAATAATTCATTTTATAGGTAAAGGGAATATGTCTTTTCAATCCTTTCCCATGCTAGGTTTTGACCAATAAATTGGCCATGGCTGGTACTATTTCCAAAGCTAAGACAAGGCCATTTAGTAAAGTCTAATGGCAAGATGGCAACATCAATGATGGCACAATCCAACAGGAGGGGACATTGCACAAGTAATCTTGGAGTTACAGAAAATAAAACACCCTATACGATTGTACCCAGCTGGCGAGAAGTTTTGCAATACAGACACAAAAGGAGAATCCTATAGCTACTCATATTGGCATGTGAATGAAAACGTCTAATGGTATATACAACTTTGAGGTTTCATGGTTAAATACACATAAACTGTGACGAACAGGTAGTAACATAGCCATTGAACAAAACTGGCAGATATTGGAAGCTATCAGAAAACTGTTACTTAATAAACATGCTCAGTGGTCAGCCAGAATTTCTGATTTCAAAAAAACTATAGGTCATTCAGAAACAAACTCGAAAATTAATTAATTGATTTGTAGTATTCAGTCAAAAAATTGTGATACGCCACAAGACTCCTACTGATGGGAGTAAAGTCGGTTTGATTCTCCAAAGAGATTCTCTCTAACAAGACTACATAAGTTGTACTTAATAAATTCAAAATCTTCACAAAATACATTCGCACATAAAAGCATGAGCAACGAATAGTACCATATGAGCAGGCTCAACGATCTTGTAACCGGTCCTCGCCCTGAACATGGCAACAAAATCATCTGCAATTATACAGAGCAATAAACAAAAAAGCTTGAAGGCGCCATGAAAAGAATTACAGTCATTCAATTACTTAGCATGAGATTGGATTCTTCACGCCGTGACCCATGGTCAACAATGATCACACCATCCTTCTCACCAACGGTGCAACTCTCTCCTTGGGCCGTTTCTGAGCTGAAACCAGAATTCGGCTTGGCACTCATGACTATGTTTCCAATGTTGAGTCCAATTCTCGGCAACTTGACAAAGCTAGCAGAATTCCTGACATCAATGCTCCTAATTCCAACAAACAAGAGGTTGTGTGTTACGGCAAGAACTAGCAGAAGTTAACTAGCATGAAAGAAAAAGAATGCATGTCATGGAGACAAAGTCTTACTTACCATGATGTCAGTTTGTTTGTATGGGTCGCACTTAAGGGTTGGAAGGGGATTGAGATAGTATGCATAGACCACCCTCCAAAGGCCCAGGAGCACCACTATGTGATTCTTGTTGAAAATAGGTGATGACAGGGCAGTGGCGGATGCCGAATTCCACAGCTGAGTATTTGGAGTTATGAGATGTTAATTCATTGTATGGAACGCATAGTGTTCGCTATAACAGTAGCACACATGACGATACAAATAGTAGCAACCTACAACCTCTTCGTTTTTTTAAAAAACAAAGTTGTACAGTATCCATCACCAATCAAGAATGATTACCACTAATGGCAGAAGCAAGTTACCACAAGAGCAAGGGGGGACAGGACATTTTCAGAATTTCAGGCGACTTCACCTATGGATTGGACGGTGGGGGATGGATGGATTCGTTGCCTTGATTCACTCACCGCCTCTGGAGCACAGGGGTGAGTAGCCTCTCTCGCTCTCAAAAGCTGCGGCGCGCCCCGGTTTGCTCCTCCCGCGCGCTCTGAGCCGTGGTTGGCCGTCAACCCCACCGCGTCCGCCGTCCGCCGCCGGGGGAACGGGAGAGGAGTGGTTGGGAGGGGAGACCTCGTTAGGGGATGGGCGCTGGATTTGTTTTGCCGCAGCAGCCAATGGCGAGAGAATGACGACGTTGTCCAACCGAGTTTCAGCGAGGAGGGGGTCGCGAGCCGCCGACTCAGGCTCGCCTCGCGCTCGCACGGTCGCCGCCGCTGCCTTCTTTCGATGGGGAAAAACGCGAACAGTAGGGAGATAGGGTTACCACTTCTGGGGTGAAATTTGTATATTCGTCGCCGTTTCGGTAGAATGCCACCATCATAATAGGATTCAATTAAATGCCACTCTCAAGCCCTCGACTATTCACTGCAATACCATTTTACTTTTTTATTTGGCTATTCACTGCAATACCATTTTACTTTTTTATTTGGATTTCTAAATTGTTTTTTCCTCAATTTATTTTTTTCTTGGACTTCTATGCCCCTGGCTCAGTAGGTTGAACCGGAGAGGAGGGGTGGCGACTTGGGACCTCGCCGGTGGAGTAAGAGAGGCGCTGCCGCCTTCACCAACTTGGCCGCACCGCCTCTCCCACCGAGCTGCCTCTCCACTCCTCGTTGTGTCGCGCTGCCTCTTGTGGCCAGTCGAGCCGCGCGCCTTTCTCGTCCTTGGCGCCACCGCCGCAAGGACGGCAGTGTACGGCATCCTCGCCCCCGTCAACCGGGAGATGAGCGCGTCGGTGGGCTAGGAGGGTGCGCCGCCACAAGATTTCTCCGAGGGCGCAGCCAGCGCGGTTAGGGAAGGCGGCGGAGAACGAGGTGAGCGGTGCCGGCGCTGTTGGGGAAGACGGCCGCGCGGATGGCGAGGGAGGCAGCGCGGGTGTGCCTCGGTTGGGGAAGGTGGTGCCGCAGGCGTGGCTGCCCCTCCCTTTGGTCTTCTCTCCTCTCCCTCGGCTAGCGCAGCGGAACAGCAACAGAACAATGGTGGTGGGCGGCGCCGGTGTCTCCACCTCTTCTCCGCTCGCGCTCACGCTTGCGTGCTCGATTCAACCAAATGAGAGAGACCAAGAAGAAACCAAGTCCGATTCAACCAGTTGACCCATGGGCATAAACGTACAACAAAAATTGTAATTGAGGAAAATTAATTTCGAAATGTAAAAAACCACGAAAGTGGCATTGCAGCGAATGCGCGCAGCTTGAGAGTGGCGTTTGATCAAATCCCATTTTGACGGTGGCATTCTAACTAAGCTAGTTTTTATGGGTGGCAGATATGCAAATTTCTCACTCCTGGGAGGGGCGTGCACCTCACGTGCGCGAGGAGGAGCAAAGTGCATTCGATCTGTCCAGTTATTTTTCAATGATCTGGTCAACCCAAATACGAGTGGAATATTCGCTTTTAAAACCAACCCAACCTGCTTAGTCTTGAAACCAAATAACTTTAAAAATGGGATGGCCTCAACCTGGACCTAGTTGTTAACATCAAATTTTGGTAAGCCCCAAAGTCATCATCGGTTTAGAATCACTATTGGCTTCAGCATCTTGGAATTGGCCGATGAGAATTATCAAGTCGCCAATAGTCGCATTCTTAGTAGATTCGGTTAAGGAAATTAATCTATTAAAGGAAGTTTATCCAGAAGTGACCGAGTTCAAGGAGGATGCGGCATGGTAGTTTATCTATTAATTAGGAAGAGTTTTTTATTTTCTTTTTATCTTTAGGAAAGTGTGCTTAGTGTCCGATAAGAACTTTATGTTTTTATTTTATATTTAGGAAAGTTTCTTTCTTGTCCAATAAGGACTAGTATCTACCCATGGATATAAATATGTACACCTAGGGTAATTATAAACTACCTCTCGATCAATAGAACTACTATCGGTGCATCACCACCCTCTTTTCCGAGGTTTTTACTTATCACCGGTGGAACTTGGCACCTGATGCGGGACTGCATCGGCTTTCGATCTTCGGCGAAGGGGTAAGTCCTATGTTTTACCGACCCTGGTAATTGTATCGGCTACATTGGTGTGGTTCAAGGCTGCATCGCTTCGACCTCTCAAATCACTCTGGTTCGGTTGATATATTTGTCTGCCTATTTATCATATATATAAGTTAATCTAGTTTGGTAGATTTACTTGTATCGGCTGGGATCTGCTTTAGAGTTTTTGCCGGTATCAGCTAAATTGCTTTGCCAGATTAGATTAGCTAAGGTATCCACCTCTCTTAAAGTCAGTAAAAGGCTTGATTGTTTAGACTTTATGTTTCTTTGCATACTTCGAGTTTCATCGACCTTAATCGTGCTTGGAACTATAAAAACTAACCTGCCTTTGATTGCCAATAAGGGTTTCATCGGGGTTTCAACCGATGAGTTATCTGGATGTTGCATCGTCTTCTAAGGATTACACAAGTTGGATTCAGCCAATCGCAATAAAGGTTTCATTGTTTAACTAATCATTTGGATTTAATGACATCGGACTTCCAACCGATGTATGCTTTAACCATCGGATCACTTATTCTATCATATTATTTTTAGACGATTGGTTTCTATTGAATTATATTATTGTTATATTACATTATCATTAGCCGACTGTGTTTATATCTTTATTTACTCAAGTATCAAAATATACGGGATATATAGCCGACAGTTCAAGACTCTATTGACATCAGTTGGTATCGGCATCGGCTGGAACTACTCCATCGGCTTGTCAGCCGATCAGCTCTTTGGTGATCAACATATTTGTCTATTTTGTCAATTGCAAGATCAAACTGATAGGCACGCCAGCATCTCATCAATATTTTGGATATGCACTGGAGCTAAGCGGATCTCCTAGGCCATTGTGTTCGTCGACTTAGTTCGCGCTAACACAGATCTGGCACCATCGGGCGAGCGTGGATTTTTCGTCAATACTAGCAAAACCCTCCAACCAACAAGTTTAGGCTCTCTTTGTTTAGGCTTATAAGTTACTCCTTCCATTTCATATTATAAGTCGTTTTAATTTTTTTTTTCAGTCAAGCTTCTTCAGGTTTGAGCAAGTTTATAAGAAAATTTAGAAACATCTACCACATCTGATTAGTTTTATTAAATATAATATTGAATATATTTTGATAATTTAACACTCTTTAAAATGTGTTTTGATTATTTGACATCCTGGCCTACTTTCATTCACTCAGATGGTCCCACGTATCATCCTCACAAGTGTCAATTAGAGCAATTGGGCAATAAAAAAAATGTTAAATTATCAAATATATTTCATAAGAGAGATGAAAGAGAGGGAGGGGAGACAGAGGATAAGAAAAGAGTGGAGGAAGTTAAAACGTGGAGGTGGAGGAGTTTGGATTATATTCTATGGGTGGATTTTTAGTCCACTAACAATAGTAGGAGGCTAGACATCTTTTAAACCGAGACTAAAAATAATTTTTACACCAACCGGGACTAAAAATTATAAAATAGCGTTGGACTTTTCAACTGGGCCTGGCGTTGGACTTTTAGTCTCGATTCCCATTCAAACCAAGACTAACATGGTTTTTGCACCATCCATCAAAAGATCACTTCTCCGATTAATGGTCATGGATTGACGTGGATGAAAGAGAGGGCCAACAATGGTGAAAGCGTAGACTCCAACGCTGCATCAGCATCACGGAGGAAGGCAGCAGCGCGGCGCAATTAGCGCGTGATCGCATGATTAGTGCGTGCCGTACCGTGTAAAAATACTCGAAGCATTCGTCACTACTGATCAGCGGCGAATCCTTTAGCAGATTCTTTTCTTGTAGCCTGCCTTTTGTTTTGTTATTTCCTTCCTGTTTTGCTCAGTCTCAAGCTGCATATAATGCTCTCATGCATAGTGATATAATCAGAAGCACTCCTTTCACTCACCCGAGCCAACCATGGCGAGGCAAACCAACGGCGGCGGCAGCAACAAGAAACCTTCTACTGCTGCCGGCGGCGATGCCTCACCGGACAAGCAAAATGCGCCGCCTCCCGAGGACAAGAAGCCGCCGCCGGACGGCACTGCACCGTCGCCCACCACCCCTGCCACCGGCAATAATAATCCATAAGGATCCTCCGCCGCCGCCGCCGCCGCGACAGCCGGCGGCGGCGAAGGGCACGCTGGACGCCTTCGGCCGCGACCTCACCGCGGAGGCGGCGAACGCCGACCCCGTGGTGGGGCGCGAGGAGGAGATCGACCGCGTGGTCTGCATCCTCTCCCGCAAGTCCAAGAACAGCGCCGTGCTCGTCGGCGCCGCGGGCGTCGGGAAGACGGCGATCGCCGAGGGCCTCGCGCAGCGCATCGCCCGTGGCGAGGTGTCCGGCGTCCTGGAGGGGGCGCGCGTGGTGGAGCTCAACGTCGCGGCGATGATCTCCGGCACCTCGTACCGCGGCACGTTCGAGGAGCGCATGACGGGGGTGATCGCCGAGGCGGAGGCGGAGGCCGACGCGGCCGCCGGGAAGGTGGTGCTGTTCGTGGACGAGATCCACATGCTCCTCGGCGCCGGCCGCGTCTCGGGCGGCTGCATCGACGCCTCCAACATGCTGAAGCCGGCGCTGGCGAGGGGCCGCGTCCGGTGCCTCGGCGCCACCACGCACGACGAGTACCATCGGTACATGGTGAGGGACGCCGCGTTCGAGCGCCGGTTCCAGAAGGTGCACGTCGCGGAGCCCAGCGTGGACGACACCGTCGCCATCCTCCGCCGGCTCAAGCCCTCGTACCAGGACCACCACGCGTGGATATCCAGGACGCCGCCCTCGTCGCCGCCGCCAAGCTCTCCGGTCGCTACATCCCAGGTGAGAGACCATTGCGTCGCGCTTGATCACCAATCAACTCTGCTCACGATGTGTGCTTCTCAGCGAGGCACTTCCCGGACAAGGCGATCGACCTGGTCGACGAGGCGTGCGCGACGGCGAGGCTGCTGATGGATCGCCGGAAGAAGAAGCAGGCGCAGGCGGCGGTGGCGCCCAAGGACGAAAACGTCGGCCCCGACCACATCGCACAGGTACGACGCACGCCGGCGCGCGCCACCGCATCGACGTCGCGCGCCGGCGAGACACTGACCGCGGTTGATGCGCATGCGTACGTGCAAGTGGACGGGCATCCCGGTGGCGAGCCTGGGGGAGGACGAGAGGAAGAAGCTGCTCGAGCTGCCGCAGCTGCTGCACCGTCGCGTGATCGGGCAGGACGAGGCGGTTGGCGCCGTCGCCGAGGCGGTGGTGCGGTCGCGGTCGGGACTCGGCAACCCGAACCAGCCGTCGGGCTCCTTCCTCTTCCTCGGCCCGACCGGCGTCAGCAAGACGGAGCTCGCCAAGGCCCTCGCCGAGCAGCTGTTCGGCAACGCCAAGCTGCTCGTCCGCATCGACATGTCCGAGTACGTCAACGCCAGCTCCGTCACTCGCCTCATCGGCTCCGCTCCAGGGTATGTCTCGTCCGTTGCATCCGTCAGTGCCATTGCTGTGAGCTTGCATGCCCAAGGCTCTAATGGCGGCCGCCGTGTGTGATCGCGTCGCATGCGTGCAGGACGAACGGGTACGACAAGGGCGGGCAGCTGACCGAGCTGGTGCGGTGTCGGCCATACAGCGTGGTGCTGTTCGACGAGGTGGAGAAGGCGGACGCCGCCGTGTTCAACGTCTTCCTCCAGATCCTCGACGATGGGCGGCTCACCGACGGGCAGGGCCGCACCGTCGACTTCACCAACACCATCATCATCATGACCTCCAACCTCGGCGCGCAGCACCTCGCCGACGCCGCCGCCGCCGACGCCAGCCACAAGGACGACGCCACGGAGGCCGCCGCCGCCGCCGCCAAGCAGCGCGTCCTCGCCGACGTGCAGAGGCACTTCCGGCCGGAGCTCATCAGCCGGCTGACGGAGATGGTGGTGTTCCGGCCGCTGTCCGGCGAGCAGCTGCGGAAGGTGGCGAGGCTGCAGCTCCGTGGCATGGCCGCGCGCCTCGCCGAGAAGGGCATCGGCCTCGACGTCGCCAACGCGGCGCTCGACGTCGTGCTGGCGCGGTCGAGCGACCAGGTGCGGGCGTACGGGGCGCGGCCGATCAAGCGGTGCCTGGAGAAGGACGTGATGACGAGGATCTCCAAGATGGTGGTGCAGGAGGAGGCGGACGACGACTGCTACGTCACCGTCGAGGCAGACCAGGGGAAGGAGGAGCTCGTGTTCACCGTCGACAAGCAGGCAGACGCAGAAGAGAACGACGCGGCGGCGGCGTCGTCTTCGTCGTCGGCGGCGGGGAAGAAGAGGAAGCGGAGGCCGCCGGCGAGGTATCTCGTCGTGATTGACGACGACGAATAGTGAATCCAATCCTGATCGTACTGATCGTTGGGCTATGATTTCTCACAATTTGGAACTGTGCCTCAAAATTCAGATTTCTGAATTCTGATCAATCCTCAATGTTCTTTTATTACCGGTTGTTAAAATTCCTTGCACATCCATTCATCTGGTCATTCCCGCAAAAATATTGGCCATTGTCACGAGGTGATGCAAGTCTTGAACTCCTGGTCCCATATTGTCTAAGAGCATCTCCAGCAGAGGTCCTAAACACGGGGGTTTCTCTTCCGCACATACGCGCTAGGAACCGGAGACGGCGCGCACTTTCCTACCGCTAACAGCGCTTAGAGCTCTCTTTTTTTTTCCTAACTGTGTCGTTCTTTTTTTTAATAAAAACTAGCTGGGTGGCCCGCGCAATTGCGCGGCTAACACCCAAACAAAATCATATCTATTTCAGTATGATTTTACTTAAGATTTATTAAATAGCTATCCCCGTATTTCTATTTATATAGTTTTTAAAAGTCACACCAGTTACTACCCCTTACTTCTGTCATATGCTTCTTTATTTGCTTGCTCGGTCTACCACGGCATATGGAACCTCTCAACTGCTCCCTCGGGATAGGTAGGCCCATCCCCCACCCCCCTTTCCCGAGAGGCGGCCGGCCGCGGACTGGGATCGCTCGTTCCGTGCTTGACTTACGAGCTCGTGTAGTAAGGCCTCCGCCCTATCTATATCTATGGATACTGAAGTGTGGCCAGCTAATAACATTGATTCAATTGGCATTGACATAATAAGAATACCACTATTTCTATTCATTCTCTTTGAAACATTTAAAATTTGGATCTTATAGTTTTTTGAGTTTATTATCTCGTTGGGTTTCTTTTTATAATTTCTAGAAGTCCCGTCAAATGCTGCCATTATACTCCTCTACGACCCGTCCACTGTCTTTTCTTTTTATTATCATTGGGATTTTATAAATCGAACATAATTATCGTTTGGGTTCATTTTTTACTTTTTATAAGTCCCGCCAAACCGTCAGCGGCTTTGCCATTGTACTCCTTTATGGCTTGCCCGCTGCCTCCCTTCTTTATTATCATTGAGATTTTAAAATCGAACATGATTATCATTGGTTTTTTACTTTTTAGAAGTTCCGAACCTTTAAAGGTTGGACCTTGTAGTTTTTAGAGTGACCTTGTAGTTTTTAGAGTTTATTGTCTCGTTGGGTTTCATTTTTTATAATTTTTAGAAGTCCCGTCAAACGATGCCACTATACTTCTCTACAGCCCATCTACCGCCTATTTTTCATTGTCATTGGGATTCTAAAAATCGAACATAACAATCATTGGAATTCATTTTTTATTTTCTAGAAGTCCCACCAACCGTCGGCGGCTCTGCAACTGTACTCCTATACACGTCGCACGCTGTTTCTCATTTTTATTGTCATTAAAATTTTAAAAATCGAATATGATTATCAATGGGGTTTATTTTTTTTTACTTTCAGAAGTCCTGGCAACTGCTTTACCCATTTGCTTCACGATCTGCCTACCGTCCCTTCTTTTAATCATCATTAGGATTCGATTTGGTGCTTTACTAACAGTTTTTATATGTCGTATCAACCTCCGCCACTCTACTCTTTTATAGGCATGTTACTTAATTTATCTCGTCATGGATTTTAGATGGTCTTTTTTTCAATAGTCTTTATTTTTATCATCATTTTTTGTTATTTATAAATTTTATTCCTAATTGAAGTATTTTTTTTCTTTTTTAATTTCAGAATTTATTTTTTTTCAAATTTTAATTAATACCGTATAGTGTTCTTTTAATATTTTTATTTTTTATTTTTTGAAGTCCAGTTGTTTCAAAATTGTATTCCTATTTGAAATCTCTTTTAGTTTTTCCAATTTTGGATATTATTTTATTTTTTATTATGAATTTTAATTAATGTCGTATTGGGTTCTTATATATTGGGTTCTTATATGGACTTTCAATATTGCTTATTTTAAATCCCGAATTTCAGTTGATTTTAAATTATATTCCTACTTGAACTCTTCGTTTCTTTTTGCTAATTTCAGATCTTATTTTTATTTTTATTCCGAATATTAACTAATCTCATATTGGGTTCTTATATGGACTCTTCTCTCAATATTCCTTATTTTTAATTACAAATTTCGGTAATTTTTAAATTATATTACTACTTGGACTCTCCTTTTATTTTCTAATTTCGGATTTTATTTTATTTTTATTTTGAATTTCGATTAATCCCGTATTGGGTTCTTACATGGACACTTCTTTTAATATTGCTTATTTTTAATTCCGAATTTCAGCTATTTTTGAAGTGTATTTCTACTTGGACTCTCCTTTTCTTTTTCACCAATTAATATAGGAATTTCTAGCCCCCACAGCGAACGTGGTGCCTCCTTTCAAAGCTGTTTTAATAATATAATACATAGATAGATAGATTTGCCACCATCTGTTTTTTATTTTGTTTAGTTGACTGAAACAAACTTTCAACTCAGATTTATTTCAGATTTGGAAACTTTTCAACTAAGATTTGAAAACTCTCAAGTCTAGATTTGAACACAGATTTAAAAATTTTCAAGTCAAGATTTGAATACATTGAACTTAAATTTAAAAATTTTAAACTTAGATTTTAAAACTTTCAAATATGATTTGAAAATTTTCAAGTCAGATTTGAAAACTTTCAACTCGACTCGAATTTAAAAACATTCAACTAAATATTTGAAAACTTTCAGCTCATATTTAAAAACTTTCATCTCAGATTCAAAAACATTCAACTCAAATTTGAAAACTTTCATTCAAAACTTAAAAACTTTCATCTCAAATCTTAAAAACTTTCAACTATTTAAGTCAAGATTTGAAAACTTTCAACTCAGATTTAAAAACTTTCATCTCAGATTAAAAAACGTTCAACTCAAATTTAAAAACTTTCATCTCAACACTGAAAAACTTTCAACCCAAATCTTAAAAAAATTCATTTCAAATTTAAAACTAGCAGAAATTAAAGATGAAAGATTCAATTTCTAAATAAAAAAACCACGGAAAAAGGTCGGCAAAAAAAAAGTTTCAGCGCCTCCTTGGCTCCCGGCGGCGGAAAAAAGAAGCGAGAAAAAAAAAGAGGAAGAGAGTGGTTGCTCGAGGACATGGGCCGTGTGGGCCAGAAACACGCGCCGGTTAAACTAATAGCGCGTACGCGCTAATTAGCCATTGCGCCTAAACACAGCCCCTAAACAATTTTTGAGAGTTGAGAAAAAAAAATCAGGTCCAACAGAACCCCTACTAAAGGCCCTAAAATAGGAAGGCCTCCAAATTATCTCCTCAAGCCCCTAGGCCTCGGGACTTTCTCGCTGGCCCCTATTCCACGCGCAGGAGAGATCTCCCACCGCCGCGCGCTGATCTCTTTTTCGCGCGAAAAATTTTGCTAGCGCCGCCGCTAAAGCCTCTCCTCCGCATGCGCGCCGCCTGGATCAGCGCCCTCCTCTCCGGCTAGCCACCTCCTTTCTCGCCGCATTCTTCCCTGGCTGGCGACTTCCTCCCCTGCCGGCCACCTCCCCACCCGGTGGCCTCCTCCCTGGCGCCCTCCTGAACTACTGGCCACCTCCCTGCAGGGCAGCCTCCTCCCTGGCGGCTGGCGCCCTCCCTCTCGGCTGCCAGCCCGCCCGACGCCCTCCTCCCCAGTAAACCACCTCCACGTCCGGCACCCTTCTCCTCGGCCGGCAATAGTCGATGGTAGTTTTTTTTTCTTTTTGCAATGGATTTGTCGATGCAATTAGATAAGGCTTGTTCTTTGTGGAGATTTAGCTTGTCGGGGAGATAAATTGGATGTATGTATTTAGAAATATTTGGTTGGAGCCAATTTTTTGGTCTTTCCAAAGATAAGCATGTGAACATTTCTATTCAGTTCAGATATTAGTAGGGAAATTATATAAGATAGGTGGTTAATTGTGCCCGAACTGATCGTGTGAATGAATTGGTGAGAAAGAATCTGGTGGTGGGCACTTTGTTGTATTTTAGTGATCATAATAAAAATCGATAATATCACAACTCAGCAGAGAATCAGTACTATAACTGAAATTGGCAGGGGTGATGCTTGGATCGAGCTAATATGGTTTTGGGCAAAGCTCCTCCCCTTTCTATTACTGAAAAAAATGGATAGTTCTTGATGTAGATGTACTCTGTAAATGAATAGTTCTTGATGTACTCTGTAAATTTTGGCTGCGAATCGATGCTTTTATCACTCTTTTATCGCTACTAAAATTTTACATTTCCATGTATCGGCTGCTTGCAGAATGACAAGATGAAACCCATGACAGTGCCATACTAATTGATATCATCTGCATTGTCAAACTTTTTAACTTTTTTAGCATGGTGTAACTGCCTATTTGTGTGCATTGAAATCTCTAGACTACTTACATTGCACCTTTTCTGCAACAGTGCATATGCATGACTTTAAGATACTGTGTCAGCTGAAATCTTGTGATCGTATTCTAGAGGATATGGGTGTATTGCTGTTTAATTTCCTGAGCTACACAATTTTATTTGTACCGATGTTAGTTATATGCAGGTTCTTCGAGCAGACTGTTACAAAAAGTAAAAAAATAAGCTGCTTTGGGGTGCTATATGGTTTTCTTTTTAATGCAACTTTGTAGAGCTCTAGCATAACCTGTTCTAAATTCTAATGATTGGAAAATTTTGCTACCATTATGCATTCTACCAACATATATTAGCTAGTATCTACCATTTTTCCTAAGATTGATTGGAGAAGTTGTCAATTTATCTACTTATTGCAGTGACTAGATTGTGATGGCAAGTGAAAGTGATTCCTTTGTGCGCATGATGTCTGAAGAGACCCATGTTGAAGCATATTCCTTGCCAATGCAAAATGAAGACCTTCATACTTCAACAAATGGTGCAAAAGGAAGAGCCAAAAGATCAAGCAACTTTAATCGTACGGAGGACGTTCAACTGTGCATTTCATGGCAAAGCATTAGCTCGGATTCTATTATTGGCAATGAGCAACCAAGGAAGGCATATTGGCAAAGGATTGCAGAGCACTACCATGCTAACCGTGATTTTGAGTCTGATAGGAATGCAAACTCTCTTGAGCACCGTTGGGGTAACATTCAGAAGGAAGTAAGAAAGTTTCAGGGCTGCTACGATCAAATTGAGCGTCGACATCCAAGTGGCATACCACATCAGGAGCTTGTAAGTTAAATTGTTTATTCATTTTTATTAATAACAATCTTGTATGTATGTCAACTAACACTTGAATTTTGCTACAGGTTCTTGAAGTCGAGGCATTGTACTCATCGAATGCACCAAAGAATAGGGCATTTCAGTTTAATCATTGTTGGCTCAAGTTGAGGAATTCTCCGAAGTTTCAAACTCTAGAATCCCACAAGAGGCCAAGGTCTAGGAAGTCTTCGACCCCAATTGAGATAGCTGGTGAAGAAGATGAAGAAGGAGATGATGCTAGGAAGAGTACAACTCCTGATTTATCACAGCCAAGTGCTAAAAAGAGACCAATCGGTAGGAAGCAAGCAAAGGAGAAGTTGAAGAATGGAGGAGAAGATGGACCATACAAAGAGGCGATGAAAGTGTTAGAGTTTGTGTCGAATATGTGTACGTAGTCGGTTACAGTTTAGGACTTGGAGTTGTACTAGGTGTAGGACTAGAGTATGAGTCGAACTCTGTCCTAGGATCTCTCATAAATAGAGGGGCGTGCCTGTTGTAACCGCATGGCGACTTAGCATAGCGAGAGGGAGCGGCAGCCGGCGGCGACCGGCCGTGAGTCGTTGTAACTCTGATACGCTGTAATATGCCGGATCGGGGAGGAGCGCCCGTAATCAGTGCCCCGGAGATGTAGGCCTCGGCTGAACTCCGTTATCAAATATCGTGCCTCGGTGTTGTCATCATGTTTGGATCTCCTATGGCATTTTCTTCCGCGTTTGGTTTCCGATGTGATTTCGGGGCCGGTTTTATAACAAGTGGTATCAGAACCTGCGGGAGATCCATGGTAGAGGTACGAGGGAGGTGGTCCACTCCGCGACGACTACACAGGGTGTCCAGGGACGGACATAGACGCAAGGTGGAGCACGGCGACGATCAGCGGAATTTGATCGGTGGAATCGGACACTTTAGGCGGTGGTCTGAACCGTTCGATGGCTGCAATCAATAGGGAAATGACCAGACGTGGTGCTCGGGTTGATGGCGGCGGAAGCGATTGGCGATCCAATCGGTGGGTTGGACACTTCGGGCGGGTGGCTCGAACTTTCTGGTGAGCTACTTTCAACAGGAAGACGTGAGGCTTCACGCTCGGGGTTGATTGAAGCTGGAGGCGATCGGCGATCTCGATCGGTGCAATCGAACACTCTGGGCGGGGTAGCCCGGGTCTTTCGATGAGCTGCGTTCGACAGGGAGACGGCTAGACGTAGCGCTCGGGTCGTTCGGTGGCTGGGAAGACGGCATGTGATTTGTCGGCTTCGGCTCGCGGCTAGATTGATGGGTGATCAATCGGAGGTCGGAGTGGATTTGTTTGCGACGAACTCTGGGTGGCAGGAACACGGTTTGGTGTGGTCGTTGTGTAGGTGCTGACGGGATTCGACGCGGGCCGGCTCCGGTGATTGGAGGCGGCGGCTTTCGCGGGGAGCAGTGGTGTCGGTTGCTTCGGGGAGAAGCGGCGGCGAACCTCCAAGGCGGAGGCGGAGACGGTCCTGTGAGCGTTGGTTGTTCCTGACCGGCGGGGAGCTCGCAGGGGCGTCGGACGGAGGTGACAATGACTTCTGGCAGAGTCGACGCGATATCCGACGGGGAGTGCGTCGGAGTGTGGGCAGGGAACGAAAGAGGATTGGGATCCGGTTCGGAGTGAACCGTTTCCAGGTGGGCTTAATCGGCAATTAAGAAGGAAAAAAGGGATTTTTTTTTTGGGCCGGTTGGTGAAGCTTGCTAGTATTTTCTTGGAGCCAATACTGCTCACGTGTTGCTAGGGTACTGTTCACCAGGAGCAAAGCTGAGGACAACTATTACAAGTCACAGTGGTGCATGCTAAAGAAACTGAGGCGGTTTGTGCTTGGCTTGTTTGCACGTGGAGGCGTGTTAAGTCAAGTATTGGCTCGGTAGGATAGCAGCACAAGGGTGGCTCGACATGTCTAGCAGAGTGTGAGAAATTCCCGGGCAACAGTGGGTGAAAATCGTTGAGGGCGTCAACGGGCTGTTTGGCAGTACAGGATATATCCAGAATCTGCGGGGATTGCATGATGGGGATATATGAAATCTACGTCACTGAAGGAGAAGAGCGAACGCTATGGTGATAATTTCTTCGGGTGATTCAAGGCAACAGTGATTTTCTCAAATTGTCAAGTTCAGTCTACGGATGCGGGAAAGCGTGGATGTTGGATTTATTAGCTTGGTTCATAAGACGACAGGGAAGAAAGGGTTCTCTTCATGTCTGGTGAGTTTGATTTGTCTATTTGGTGATGACATCGGTTATCTGGCCAGGAATAGATCAAGTCAAATTTAAGACGGTAGATGGAGTTGAGCATGGTCTTCGGGAAGTCTATGATGTGACAGTTAGGAAGAATTCAATTCGTTTGGCAAGACGACTGTCGACCTGTGGTGATATGAAAGAAGGTGGAGCACTGTTGCAGGTGGAGTCAAGAGGAAGAAATTATAGGGATAGTGGAGTCTCTTGTTTACGGTGAGTCTAGTGGAGGCTTGTCGGGGCAGCTCGGCATGAGCGGCATAAAAAGGATTAACTCAAGTCCGGGTACACGGAGGTTCGAGCAAGTAACGAATTCAGGTTGGCGTGGCATATTCGCCAAGGTGGAGTTTGTTAGAGTTTGTGTCGAATATGTGTACGTAGTCGGTTACAGTTTAGGACTTGGAGTTGTACTAGGTGTAGAACTAGAGTATGAGTTGGACTCTATCCTAGGATCTATCATAAATAGAGGGGTGTGCCTATTGTAACCGCATGGCGACTTAGCATAGCGAGAGGGAGCGGTAGCCGGCGGCGACCGGCCGTGAGTCGTTGTAACTCTGATACGCTGTAATATGCTGGATCGGGGAGGAGCGCCCGTAATCAGTGCCCCGGAGATGTAGGCCTCGGCTGAACTCCATTATCAAATATCGTGCCTCGGTGTCGTCATCATGTTTGGATCTCCTATGGCGTTTTCTTCCGCGTTTTGTTTTCGATGTGATTTCGGGGCCGGTTTTATAACAGAAAGATTTGCTTGACGCCAAAGAGAAAGAAACTAAAGTGAAAGAAGAGAGATGGACTTCCTTCCATCTCTCTTCTTTCACAAGCTAAATCTCAACAAAGAACAAGCCTTATCTAATTGCATCGACAAATCCATTGGAAAAAGAAAAAAAACTACCTTCGACTATTGCCGGCGAGGAAAAGGGTGCCAGACGTGGAGGTGGTTTACAGGGGAGGAGGGCGTCGGGCGGGCTGGCAGCCGAGAGGGAGGGCGCCAACCGCCAGGGAGGAGGCTGCCCTGCAGGGAGGTGGCCAGTAGGGCAGGAGGGCGCTAGGGAGGAGGCCACCGGGTAGGGAGGTGGCCGGCAGGGGAGGAAGTCGCCAGCCATGGAGGAGTGCGGCGAGGAAGGAGGTGGTCAGCCGGAGAGGAGGGCGCTGATCCAGGCGACGCGCATGCGGAGGAGAGGCTTTAGCGGCGGTGCTAGCAAAATTTTTCGTGCGAAAAAAGATCAGCGCGCGGCGGTGGGAGATCTCTCCCGCATGTGGAATAGGGGCCAGCGAGAAAGTTCCTAGGCCTGGGGGCTTGAGAAGATAATTTAGAGGCCTTCCTATTTTAGGGCCTTTAGTACGGGCTTTGTTGGACCTGATTTTTTTTCTCAACTCTCAAAAATTGTTTAGCGGCTGTGTTTAGGACCCCTGCTGGAGATGCTCCTCCTACAATAGCAACGTTCAGATACATTAAGGCCCCATTTAGTTCCCCAAAAGTTTTTCCGAAAATATCACATCGAATCTTTGGACACATGCATGGAGCATTAAATATAGATTAAAAAAAACTAATTGCACAGTTAGGGGGGAAATCGTGAGACGGATCTTTTGAGCCTAATTAGTCCATGATTAGCCATAAGTGCTACAGTAACCTACATGTGCTAATGACGAATTAATTAGGTTCAAAAGATTCGTCTCGTGGTTTCCAGGCGTGTTATGAAATTAGTTTTTTTATTCGTGTCCGAAAACCCCTTCCGACATCTGGTCAAATATCCGATGTGACACCCAAAATTTTTTTTTTGCCAACTAAACAGGCCTAAGGAACGAGAGGATATCCCTTGAGAGATAAAATTAATTAATCTCCCGCACAATTGTCTGTGTTCATTCCGTTATTTTAACTGTTCTTTACCTTTGCCTTCGTTCCCCAAATGCTTAATTTAGCTCCACAATACGTATGCAGGGTAGAACTTCAAGGAGATTTCAGAGATACAGCTTCCTTGGAAAAAAAAAAGTTAACAGCTACTCCGTCCATCCTAAAATATTACAATTCTTAGTACAAACTTAGATAATCATATCCATATACATAAAAATTATTACAATTCTTAGCTATAAACTTGAATAATCATATCCATATACATAGCTAAAAAATCGTAACTAAAAAATATTAGTATATTCTAGGATGGTGTACCTATAAAACCTCTCATCGGTAACGGCTCATAAATACTGGTTCATTTAAAACTGATATCTATGAACTGTTTCCTGTTTCCACGGGATAAAAATATAGCATTTGAGCAACTATAGGTACCAATCCTATATATCTATAAAGTTTATCCCCCACTAAGTGTAGTTAATGCTAATTCTCTTTTCTCTTATGAAGCCACATCATCACCTAAATTGATTTTAACCTTTGGATGATTCAACAAGGGTGTAAATTGCATCTCTTCACATCACCTCAATTGTTTTTAGCCTTTAGATGATTCATCAAGGATATAAATTGCATCTCTTCCTCTAAAAGGCACACCATACAACTTAATCATTTATAACCTTTGGATAATTGATGAAAGTATAAAAATAGATAAACACATAAAAAATTGTATAGTAGGTAAGAAAGAAAATTTTAGAACTCATATCTATTATATTATCACACAATTCTCCCGCAGCAATGTACGGGGTATCCATCTAGTTGCAAATAAAATTGTGACTTTTTTAAAAACCCAGCACCTATGAGTACAAGTTTTTTAATTAACCAACAATGCCGATTTTTTAATTAACCGGCATCCATAATAAACGGTCCAAGCCGAGCTGATGGGTTAAGGATTTTTTATCTGACCAGCAACTGACACCGACCAATCTATCACTATTACAGATAAGGCATTTCCTCTATACATCAATTCATGACATACAAATATACCGTATATCAAGTCCTACACAGAACAAGCTGAAATTTTCACAATTTGACCCTTTGCAAAAACTATTTTTACAAATAAACTGCTGCCAAAACTTATTTCAAAAATGACTCTTTTGGTCAGCGCCAAATCACCAGGCGCTGAACTTAGACACCTCAGCGTCATGTCAACTGGCGCTGAATGCCGTGCCACCACAGATGGGAGACTAAGTCAGCGTGCCAATGCATATTCAGCGCCACGCTATTTGGCGCTGAGGTGTCTAAGTTCAGCGCCAAGGGTTATTTTTGAAATAAGTTTTGGTGACAGTTCATTTGTAAAAATAGTTTTTGTAAAGGGTCAAATTGTAAAATTTTTTGCAGAACAAGGCCTCATACATGCATGTAAGGTGTTTCAGATAATAAAAGAGAAATAGTCCTATTTGGACACTGCGAGACTAGTCGGATCGTATACATATATGATTCCATAATTCTATTCGGACAGAGGATACCCGAGGGTATAAATATAAGACCCTAGAGGAGCAGAGAGGACAAGAGAAGACAACCAATACACAATAATACAAGCCAACGCGATCAATACAAGCCATAGCCAATGCCACATTGGAAAACAACCATGAGTAAGATAAGCCTTAGTTGCTGATATCTACTCGCTAGGACGTATTCGACGGATTTAGGTCAGCCCGTTAGAATAGCTAACTTGCTCTCCTATTGTAATCAGTATGATATTGAGATATAATGACTACACCAACTTCGGCTAACAAGAGTAGAGCTATTACCTGTAATAAGTGGGGTTCAAACCTATATAAAAATCTTTGTCCACCATCTTCTTACTATAATCTCGCATATACCTTAGTACCGACTGTAAGTGTCAAGGATATGACATACCTTCTATACATGAGTTAACGGAATATGACAATACCATATACCTAATAGTATAGAGGAAGATATCCTACAATTAAGGAAATACGGGAAATAATGTTGGCAATTATCTTCCCGGATTAGAAGGTGTCAGAGTCCCTAGTTGGGGAAGATGAGGATTCCTTAGGCCCATATTCCGGTTTATTTATCCGAGTCCTACTTGAAGAAGAAGATGATCTACGCCATAAATACAAGACCTCCTCATCCAGGCATGGGCATCGAATTACAGGCCGTAGCCAAAGCCACATCCAGAAGCAATCCAAAGGAAGCTAGCACCTTAATTGGCGAATAGATCTTGTCGGCCATTCTCGACAGCTTCTAGTCGGCGGATTCGTCTAGTCATCCTATCCCTCATTGTACTATGTGTGGTATTTCCATCTATAATACGTATAAACTGGAGTAGGGTTATTACTCATCTTGAGGGCCCGAACCAGTATAAATCTTTGTCCATTGTCTACTTGATCCGATCTCGCGTATACCTTGGTTCCAACGATCCCCATATTCTACAAACACCATCTTTGGGTATAGTCCGTCGACACCAATGATTTCCATACTCTACAAATACCGTCTTCGGGTATAGTCTGTCGTCACCAACGATCCGCATACTCTACAAATACTGTAGACGGGTACAACCTGTCGACATCATCCCCATCCTCTCTTCTCTACCTTCTTAGCCCTTTCTTTTCTCTCAATCCATCCCCATCCTCTCTTCTCTATCTTCTCGGCCCTTTCTCTTCTCTCGATCCATCCCCATCCTCTCTTCCCCATCCGGTGAGGACGCTACGGGCAGCCTCCCCATAGTGGCGCATGACAGGCGATCCCCTCAACGATGGCCTAACCTCCCTTTATGGCAGTCTTGATGATGGCACGACCTCTCCTCTACGGCCAGCGGCCACCCCACAGTGGCTAAACGGGCTCAGGGGTCCACTCGTAGTCCCAACTTGTAGCCTTGCCTCTCTCCTTTGCCATGATCTCAAGGTAGCCAGATCCAGCCGCCGATCGGAATGAAAAATATGGAATTTTCAAAAGTAAAATTGAAGAGGGGAGAAACAACAGACCCATATAAGAGTAGTGTGGTGGCGGTTGATTGGACATCTAAAATCTATAAATAAAACCTTAAATAGAATCCTAATGATGATTAAGAGTAGGGACAATGGGCATGCCATTAATTAGAACAGTCACAACGGAAGGAGGGACTTTCAACCAGTAAAAATAAACCCCAATGATAATCATGTTCGACTTTTAAAATCTCAATGACAATAAAGAGGACTTCTACAAATTATAAAACGAAACCCAACGAGATAATGAACTCTAAAAACTGCATGGTCTTATTCTTAAAGGTTCTTCCAAGGAGGATGAATAGAAACATTGGTAGATCAAGCAAGCAAGGAGCGGTGATGAGGAAGTAAGAGGTAGCAACTGACGTGGCTTTTAAAAACTATAAAATTAATAACACGGGCATTGATAAAGTTGTCTTTCAAAGTCGTAAGATAATGAGATAACAATTTAACAAATTTTATGTAAAATCATATGTAAAAATAGATAATTTTATATGGGTACTAGTCGTGCGATTGCATGGGCCACCTAGCTAGTTTTTATAACAATGGAGATCAAGCATGAGTAAAGAGATTACATTAGCGCGAAAAGTGCTAGTAGAGTAAAAGTGGAAAACAACCTTTAAAGAAAGTTGCTTGAGCTAGAATTAAGGTCTCTACTAAGACACCAAATTAAAGCTAACTGAGCACCAAAACAAACATGAACATTTAACTCAAAAACAGAAGTACTCAGCGGACACAAAATACAACAGTAATAAGGAGGAACACAATTAAATATAGCAGCAATAAGGAGGAATATAATGACCGATATACAGTGGTGCCAATTTACGGCGCCGGATGTGGGTGTGGGGACGGAGAATTAGGCCGGTCGACGATGCCAGCGTGTGTCAGCAGTGCCCAGAGGTGGGTAATGTGCTCGCCGCCCATCGTCAAATGCTGGACGTGCGCCGTCGCATTGTCCGCCGGGGTGACGAACAGCATCAGCTCCGCCCACACCCTGGCCAGGAGCTTCCACGTCATCTCCTGGTCCGGGATCACCATCAGCTGTGTCCAAAGCCTCGCACCGTGCACATGGATGCCGCTCTCCGGCGAGCTCGCGGTCGCCGTCTCCGCCACCGCCTTCAACCTGTCCAAGACCTCCTTGTCCGACGCGCAGCCACGGAGGCAGACCCGGAGCTCGAGGAGCACCGCCTCGGCGATCGTCCGGGTGGTGTACTGGTGCTCCGGCAACAGCTCCGGCGCCGACGACACCAGGTAAGCGCAGTACCTCGACAGGCTCGTCGCCACTGCACGGTCGCCGTCGCCGTCGCCGCCGCCGGCGGCCTTTCTCGCTCGCGGCCGCGTCTTCTTGTGGGTTATTGCCGCCGGCATCTGCATGTCACAGAGGCAAGTGGCGATGTGCCAGATGAGAATGGCGTGCGCGCACGTGCGCCACGTCGCGCCTCCCCACGCCCAGTCTAGCCTGTGTTGCCGCAGCGCGGCGCGGCCGCCGCCGCCGAGGACGCCGTCATCGTCGTCGCGATCCCTCAGTGCAGACGCGAGCGCGCTCTCCACCGCGGCCGACACCTTCACCGATCGCGCCTTGCCGCCGTTGAACATGAGCCTGTCCAGCCACCGGCGAGTCGCCCGCGACAGCCAGTCCTTCACGGCGTGGCCAGGAGAGGCGTGGCGGACGATGGAGTACTGGCTCATCGTCTTCTTCCAGTACACGCCACTGCCGCAGTAGCACAGCACGCGCAACACCGCCTCGAAGAACGGGTTCCCCTGCCATGACGGCCGGAGGACGTACCTGCACAGCATCTTCACCTTCTGCCAGTCGGAGAAGAGCACGGCGACGAACTGGTACGCCTCGAGGACGATGACTAGCGCTATGATGAACATGGTGAGGGCGACGTCGAGGTTGACGCCATTGACCTCGATGCTTCTATGGTGAGTAGGGTGGTAGTGTCGCAGCGAGTGGGAGGAGAGGGTGAGCACGCCGATGGTCATCACGAGGGCGCACATGGCGAGGTGCGGTGCCGTGCTCACCGCGGCGTGGCAGATGAAGGGATACCTCGTGTAGAACAGGTCGTAGAGGAAGCCGAGCTCCACTTCGATCACCCGGAAAGCTCTGCCGTCTCGTCTTGATCTCCGGTCGCCGTCGCCGTCGTCGTCGTCGTCTTTTCCCTGTCCGAGGAGGCCCCTGAGGACAAAGTCCCTCGTCTTGGGTTGGCCGGACTCGGCCAGGGGATAGTTGCTGCACCTCCGCCGGAGCAGCTTGAACAGGGCAAAGGAGAGGCAAAGATCCCGTCGCGCGGCGGCGCTGGCGTCGGCGACGGAGCTGCCCATCAGCAACCGCCCCTTGCACCGCCAGACGCTCTCGACCGTCACCAGCGCACGCGCGCCGTCCACCTTGATCTTCTTGACGTAGTCCGGCGCCGTTAGCTCCATGACGTCCGTCTCCTCCCCTCTGACTATGTACTTGTACCCTTCCATGGTCACCGGATCTCCGTCGCTGCCGCCCTGCCGGCTCAGGTCGTGCTCGTAGGTCATGTAATCAGCGACGAGCTTGTTGTCCGCCTCCAACCTGTCGGAGCGCAGCGCCAGCCGGTAGCCGAGGGCGCTCAACGCGATCTTCCCCAAGCTCACGAGCCAAACGATGAAGAGGTAGATCTTGAGCTTCGGGGAGAGCACGGAGGCGTAGTAGTGGAGGAGCACGGAGACGTAGATGACCTGGAGGCCTCGGTTGAGCAGCACGGTGGCCGGGCTCTTGATGTCGGCGAGGGTGTAGGCGGTGATGGAGTCGGAGCTGGCGAGGACGAAGAGGAAGAAGCAGGACCAGACCACGAAGAGCTCGTGGTGGAAAGGGGACGACTGCATGAGGCCGATGGTGTAGGCCGCCACCGGGTAGGACACCGTGAAGGCGCCCCACACGACGAGGCGGACGGTGGCGCTGCTGCTCCGGCGCCTGGAGGAGCCGAGGAAGACGAGGAGCGCGAGGATGGCGGAGCAGAAGAGCACCAGGAGTTCGATACGGGCCAGCAGGCCGAGGTTGCAGCCTGCCGGTAGATCACCCGTGGTTGCATTGCAGACCAGCCGCGGAGCCGGCTCCGGTGCTACGGACGGCCGCCGCGACATCGATCTCTGATTCGAAGATTATAAATTTCCGAGGAAGGAGCGTGACTGTATGATTGATGGACAAAAGTCACAAAAGGCCAGCTGATGCACAAATACAATGTACTACATGCATACCACCCTATTTATATGCGGAAAGCCTGAAATCACACCTTGAGAGAGTAGCCAACAAGCTGGGAAACTAAATATCCACTCATTTATTTTACTCCCTCCATTTTAGATTACAATACACGTTTTAACTTTAGTCAAGTCAAACTACTTTAAGTTTGACTAACTCTATAAAAAAAAATTTCTTAAAATTTTTTTTTTATAGAGTTAGTCAAACTTAAAGCAGTTTGACTTTGGCAAAAGTCAAAATGTCTTGTAGCCTGAAACAGAGTGAGTATGTCAACTAAATGATTATGATAAAATTTCAAGACAAATTGATATAATAAATTAATATGTACTCCCTCCATTGTATAATATAAGGGATTATTCCCTTTAGGTAAAGATTACTGATGAAAAGAAAACACTACAATATCCCTATTAAATGTGATTTCGGTTGTGGTGAGCGGGTAGTTGGAGGTTGAAATAGGTAGAAATTTGAATGAGAGATGATGGATGTGACAAGTAGTATAGCAAAATCTCTTATATTATGGAACTAGTAGAAAAGATAAAATCTTTTATATTATGGGATGGAGGGAGTAATACATCACTCAAACATGCAAGTGTAAACTCAATTTAACTTTATAAGTTGTAACAAAAATAACAAATTAAACTCCAACTAGTATGTTGGCTCGCGCAATTGCAGGGGTAACACCGTCATAAAATTATCTATTTTTTTTACATATGATTTTTTAAAAATATTTATTAAATATTCAACTCATTGTCACGTACGTGATTTTTAAAAAATGAACCTTATATTATCAAGTTTACAATTATTTAGTTTTTAAAAGTTACACACGTGCCTCCCTATACTCCTCTGTCGCTCCTCCTCTACTTGCTCATCTCCGCTTCTATTCATCATCTTCGGGACTTTATAATTTTTTTTATCTCATCGATTTATATTTTCTTATAGTTTTAAACGTACCATTGACCGCAACCATCCTACTTCTTTATATTCCACCTATCATCCCTTCTCTTTATTATTATAAGAATTAATCGAACATGGTCATCTTTTGAGGTTCCGTTTTCATAGTTTTTAGAGGTCAAGTCAATTTCCACCACCCTACTCTTAACAGCCCGCCCAATGCCCTCCATTTTATTTTATTATCATTAGAATTACTCGAACATGGTCATCTTTTGGGTTCCGTTTTTATAATTCTTTGAAGTCAAGTTAATTTTCATCATCCTACTCCTTTACTCCTTAACAGCCCTACTCCTTAACAGCCCTCCCACTGCTCCTCCTTTTTATTGGTATTGGGATTTTAAAAACCAAACCTGATCATCGTTGGAGTTTAGTTTTTATAGTTTTTAGAAGTCCGATCAACTGTTACCACTCTACTCCTTTATGGTACGGCCACCACCCCTCCTCTTTAATGTCATTAAGATTTTAAAAATCAAACTTGATCATCGTTGGGTTCCCCTTTATAGTTTTTAGAAGTCTCGTCAAACACCATCACATACTCATTTACGACCCGCCCTTCGCCCCTTCTATTTGTTGGCATTAGGATTTTATGAATCAAACATGATCATCGTTGGGTTATATTTTTATAATTTTTAGAAGTCTCGTCAACCGCTACCACCTTACTCATTATGGCCCGCATGTCATCCTTATTTTGTTTATTATTTGGATTTTAAAAATCGAAGCTGTTCGCTTTGGGTTCCATTTTTTGTAGTTTTTAAAAATCTCTACTCCTTTATAAACCAGTCCGTCATTGCTAGGAGCCTAGGATGCAGCTGATATACTATCCATCGTGCCATCTCCTCTAATGTTGGTTGTAGCATCAACTATGGCATCGTCAAGTGCTTATGTGTTCGGGGTGAAGTCGGAGCTGCTACTGGTATGATAAGCTTGGCAATGATTACACTTGCCTCCTTACATTTATCTTTGTGGAGAAGGTACTAGCAAAGGTCGTGGTTGGTATGATGAGCTTTGGGCGAAAGACTTGTCCCGGTCTTCACATGGTGACACCTGTGACACCATTCCCCCTCCTTGTGGTCCTAGCCGTGTTGTTTCTCTCTTTACTTCACTTGAAAACCTAGTTCCGGTGCTCTGGATGAGCATTGACAATGTCTTTTGGTGTGGTGTTCTCCTTGAAGGCTTTGTCAAGAAGATCACGCTCTATGATTGGGTGGTGGCCAGTGGCCACATCCCCTTAATTAGGTTGTGTTCTTCCCTCTTCTTTCCCAACTCACCTCCCTCATTTTTCATGTGCACGTTTTTTAAATTGCTAAATGGTGTGTTTTTTACAAAAGTGTTTTTATAGGAAAGTTGCTTTAAAAATTATATTAATTTATTTTCAAGTATTTTTAAGCATACTTAATCAATCACACGTTAATTGGCAATACGGTTTCCCGTGCGGTCCCAAACTCAGCCTTATTGTTAGCAGCGACGTCAAGCTTTCAGGTTGAAGATCGTCACCAGAAGTTGGAGCCGCTGGTCGTTTTTGGCTATGAGCTGAGCAACAATGAGTAGTAACGGGTTTCTTTCCGGTCATTGTGTTCTGGTGCTGTGCTACCTAAGTTGTTTTTGTTCTTCGGGGGATTTTTTTCCCGGTTCCCTTTCAATTAATCGTGTAGTTGTAATATTTTTGACCTGGTTTCCTCACAATCTTTGCCAAATCTCTTCTTCTTACACGAGAAAAAAAACCATTTTTGACCCGTCATGTATGACAGTCTTTGGTGATATTCTTTCCCACTTCAGTGTTAATATGAAACTGTTAAATTATCCAACCTTTCTTTACAGAAAAAGGTCCAAATACCCTCTTAAACTTTGAATAAGTCAGTTTAACATCCTAAACTTTAACATCCAACCCCCTAAACTTTGCAATATAATCTATATTACCCCCTAAGGAGTTCTTAATGGTAGTTTTGCATATTTTGGAAGCTTAAACGAATAATTTTGAATAATTAATATAACATATTAACATATCATCGGTAGTAAGTCATCAATTTATCCTTACACAATTATTACCATACTACTATTATGATTGTACTTGTTCGTAACTGAGAACTAATAAAGGGAAAAAGAAATATTTTAGTGGAGATTTTCATAGATATGTCCAATGTGTAGGCCACGTGATCAAACTCATCGAACTTATATACAATTAGATAAAAACCATTCTGCGAAACAATCTGAGGGTTACATAAGTAAAAATTTGGGTGGTTGAATATCCGTTTCAAATTTCAGGGCGATAAACAAACTTTCATCCAAAGTTAGTTTAGTAGGGCATTTGGATTTTTTTTCCTTTTCTAAACCATGTTCAAATCCCAGAGGTGACAAATATTAAGCATACGCATGTGTATGTGCTTTAAATAGATAAATTTTCAGTAAGGTAAGAGATTTGCGGTTGGCCTCTTCCCTTCGAGCATGTGTTACAGAGACACCGGGCATATTCGTGGTGTGAGCATGTGTACCCAATGGGTTGGCGGCACAACCCGCCCCACTTACACCCTTATGTGTAGGTGTGTGCATTTGCGTCTTTCTTGTAATTGCAAAAAGATTATACCTTTCTCTTCTTTCCATTCCCTTTCTTTGTTTTTTTTTATTTTCTCTTATTATCGGATCCATCCTGTTCTTCTCCTTCTCATCCCTCTGCATTGCGGGCCTAACCCACCCCGGTGTGCGCCAAGCCAAGTATCATATTCCTGCTGCTAAAGACCATGCCTGCACATTTGTAAAATAAGAGCATGATGCGTTGTACCTAGCTCCATTTTATTACCCAATGAAAACAAAAAACCGAGAACGATATGTGTCTTCTAAGATCATTAGCTACATGATAACAAAGGTGCATGAAACCTGAGACAGCATCATGAACTGTAGCTTTTTTTTTTCGGGGAATGAACTGTAGCTTTATGAGCTGATGTATAAGAGCAAGTTTAATAGTATAGCCAACTACTAGCTCCAATTCATTTATAACCAATCTAATAGCTTATTCATACAATAGTTACATACTACACTATTAATATCTGGTCCCACCTGTCATATACACACTGCGTCTTGGAGTCCGTGCTACAGCTGGCTATAAATCTGTAGCCCGCTGCTCTTCTCTCTCCTTATTTATCTGCTTAAAATATGTTTACAGCTGGCTTATAGCCTGCTATTTTACCTGCTCTAATCTACAAGCATCCTGACTTTAGTGGCATTTAGCTTTATGAACTGTAATTGTTAATTGACATTGATGCTACTAGCTCTACGAAGGAACAAACCAATCTGACAGCTAATCCACTCGCTCCTAATTAATCATACCAGCTACTCCCTCAGTCCTAAAATACATGTATTTTTAGATTTCGACACAGTTTTTGAAATGATACATTGATCAATAATATTTATAAAAGTAATATGTTTTAAATAAAATTTTTTGCATATTATGATAGTTTATTTGATGATAAATCTATTAACATCAATTTACGCAATTGATCTTTTTTATTTGTTCGCTATTAATAGTCAAAGTTACAAAGATTTTGATTTGGAACTATTCTAAAAATACTTATATTTTAGGACGGAGGAAGTAGTTCTCAACATGAACAAATCCATATCTGCATGTGCATCATGTTTTGTTTAATCTATGTAGCTTTTTTTTTATCATGCGTCATGTGTATGTTTATATTAAGATTCAGGAGTAATGTGCCTCACAATTTCACAAAGCTAACCCAAAACCAAAAGACAAAAAAGAGAATCAAAGGAAAAAAGGAAAAGGATGGGGGTACAGAAGGCTATTTCCCACGGCATCAAAAGAGTGACCATATTAACACATTCACCAAGGCCAGAAAGCGCTTCACGAGCGCTACCTCGTAAGTGGCCACGCGCATCACTTTGGTCCAGGAACGTGACTACTGATGGAAGACGCAGTTGTTGCGCTCGTTCCGCTTCCGCATGTCCAGGGTGATAACAATATTGCTTGGCCTCACTTTCTTTCTTGCTGCTTGCTCACCATCGGGTAACGGAAAAAATGGTGGCTGCCCAACGGCGTGCATGCTTGCAATACCAGCCACCAAAGCTAGCGGGACTCATGGCAGCCCAACAAAATGTGGTCGATCGTTTCCTTTGCTTGATTGCAAAAGACAGAACTATTGGGATGGGGGGGAGCCTGCGTTTTGCACAGGCGGCCGGTCGGCCGTCCTGTTAGATAACATGGTTTCTCAAGATAAGAGATATCTCTCTATTCTAAATTGATCTACATATAGTTTTTTTTAGGTTATTTCTAAATGATCTACATATTTGTGTTCATTTATTGAGTCTATTCGTTATTCGTGCATTGGAGTAAATGGATATTGATGCATGCATCCATGGACACAAGTATTTATAACTCACATGTAATATCTTGATTTGCTATTGGCTATGAAATATTGGGGATGGTGCATGCATTGAATTTGTTGCTAGAATAAATATAGTATGAAAGAGTTATTAGCTTTCTTGGTTATGATTTACCTATGAAATATGTAGATTAATTTGGAATGGAGGGAGTAGGGTTGTTGGCGTGCGTGTTATCCTTATCTCTGTACACCGGTTGGTTCCCGATTGATCAACAGATCACGTGATTGTTGGGAACAAACCATCGCGATGTATGCGCCACTGCGAGGGCTATTCTCACCTATATCAATAGAGATGCGGCCCTGAGAAGGGTTCAACGCTTCCCACGTCATTTTTCTACATGGTATCAGAGCGAGATCTAATCTAATCCATTCTCCCAGCCGCACCGTGGCAAGTTCCTCGAAGACCCATACCGGGAATCCTCTGGTCGGCCAATTTTTCTTGGAGAAGTTAGGAAAATCGAACCACGCCATATGGAAGGCGCAGGTTTTAGCGGCTGTGAGGGGTGCCAAGCTGGAAGGGCACCTCACCGGAGCGACAAGGGTTCCGGCCGCCACCATCAGGAGGAAGGAAGGCGATGCGGAGGTCGTCGTCAGCAACCCCGATTATGAGGAATGAATTGCTGTTGATCAGGAAGTCCTCTCCTACCTCCTATCCTCCATGACAAGAGACATGCTCATCCAATTGGCTGCGTGCACCACGGCAGCGACAGCATGGAGCATGATTGAGGGGATGTTCTCCTCGATAACAAGGGCGCAGTGAATCAACACACGCCTCTCCCTCACTACCCTGAAGAAAGGAGACATGACGGTGGCGAACTACGTCGGCAAGATGCGGGCGCTGGCAGACGAGCTCGTGGTCTCCGGCAAGTTCGTCGACAACGACGAACTCATCAGCTACATCATCGCCAGTCTCGAAGAGGATTATGAACATGTGATCCAATCTATCGTCGGGCGTCCAGATCAAGTCACCGTCAGTGAGGCCTTTTTTCAGCTTCTAAGCTTTGAGCACAGGCTACTGCTGTGTCGTGGAGAAGAAGGACAAGCCTCAGCCAACCGAGGACAGTCACACAACACAATTGGTGGCGGCAGCAACAACCGTACCCGCGGCGGCAGCAACAACGTCGGCAACGGCAACCGCGGCGGAAGAGGTCGTGGGAACCCTAGCGGTGCCCGCGGCAATCCAGGAGGTGTCGACAATAGGCCCAAGTGCCAACTCTGCTACAAGAGAGGACATACAGTAAAGGATTGTTGGTTCCGTTATGATGAAAACTTTGTTCTAGATGAAAGGTTTGCAAGTTCTGCTATTTCATACGGTGTAGATACCAATTGGTACCTCGACACCGGTGCAACGGATCACGCCACTGGCGAGTTGGAGAAGCTAACAGTGCATGACAAGTACCATGGCAATGACCAAATTCACACAGCAAGCGAAGCAGGTATGAAAATTAGTCACATTGGCAATTCTGTTGTTAAGACCCCTAGTCGCAATCTCTATCTAAACTAGAATACACCCCGCGCGTTGCTGCGGTACTTTTAGTTGTCACTCGAGATGTCGGCTTATTTAAAACAAATGAATAAAAATTATTTGTGTAGTGTTTACTTGAAAAATACAGTACAGCATAGTGAAAGTTGGGTCGGCGCTGCCAGACAACCTAAAATGAAATATCACATGGCCCACAGGCCACAGTGACATGTTAAGTCAAATAGCACATTCCTATAGATGAAGTTTACAATATAAATGTAGAAATAGTTAGGATAAAGCCCAATTGGATGAACTTCCAAGCCCCACAACAGCAAGCGATCCAAACCATCACAGATTGGTGGAGTGAGCTCCTGTAATTTCATACCTAAAAAAAGGATATTGTGTGCTTTGTTGACAATGTGGTGGAACATATGGCTGGTACACAATAGAAGAATTTTCCAACAATTGTTGAAGAATGAATTCCAAGTCGCTTTTCTAGCGAAGGAAAATATTAGCCTAATAGAACAATCAAGGATCTGTCTGTTTCATGATCCTTCAATCAGTCACTCTCTTTTTTTATGTAAATAAATCCTCATATATTCCCTAGATGTTTTTTTTTCTTTTTAATAGAGATATGTAAGGCTCTGGTTTACTACTTCTTTTCTCGTTCTAATATATCCGGCAAATCTCCTACCGTTTTAAGTATAAAAAAAGAAATAGTTAGGATATTACACCCTTCATTTTATTCTATTCAATCAAATAAAAGAATAAAAGAATAAAGATAGGAGCCGAGACTCCAATAAATATAACATCAGATAGGAGTAGAGACTCCAATAAATATAACATCACAACCGAATATGCATAATGTGTTGAACTTTCAAACTCACAGTTCAAATTATTGAAAAACATATGCAATTCAACTCACTTCCTTTTCTTGTCTCACTATTAAGTTAAGATAATTCCAAGGTTGCAGCAACCGCTACTAAAATTAATGCAAAACAACTTAGTCAGTCTACAGTGGTAGACATGATCAAGGGGAAAAGAGGATTTTAATGGCGTACCGTCAAAGGAATTATTTGTGCAGTGGTTCAATGAAGAAAGCTCCCACCTTTCTTGTTTCCTGTACAATACAGAACAATACAGAGTATCAAAAACCTTTTTAAAGTTGCTGGACATAGGAATAACCATATTATGCTAATGCTAAAAAGATCAGCTGAAAATACAACATCATAAGAAGTGTAACCAACAATGAAAAAAGGGTTTCTAATAGCATATAAAATGAAAACGGCTTCAAATATTATTCAACAACACAGGGCACTAAACAATTATGAAATTTATGTTATCATGCGAAAAATTAAGAGAATAATTAAAATATTAATTCAAATACATACTGGAGACAAAAGGAAAGGATAATGGGAATGTATTATGAAAGTCAAATAGAACCTCAAGCAAAACTGCAAGGAAATTAATTAGAGCGATTAATCTATGAAAATCAGAATTGGTGAGAGAGAGACGGAGACATTTAGCGAGCGAGCAACAACACCGAGCATGTCATTATATAGCAGCAATCACCGGCATCGGCATGTGCATCTTTCACATGCACATGCACATGAACATGGGAAGAGGAAGAGGCAAAGTAAATAAGTGTGTGACTGTTAGCGGAAATTAAAGAGCTCGTCCTTGCGTGAGGGGAGGAGAAGCGGCGCAATGCGGCTGGAGCGTGCAGGGAATGGGGGAGGCAGCGCCGTGGGGCGAGGAGAAGCGAACGCAGCTGAGCTGGCGGGCCCGCTGATGGCATGCGCAGCCGATGGGGGAGGAGAAGCGAGCGCTTTGCCTGGAGGTCCCACGGAGGTGAAGCGCGAGCAGCGGCAGGAGGAGAAGCGAGTGGATGTGTGATGCGGCAGTGATCCTGATCGTTTGATTAGAAACCAACGGATAGAGAAAAAAGGATGGCGTGGAAGCACTAAGATGCAGAGAATTCCTAGTAGTGGGGATGATTTGTATAGGTATATAGGATAATGTTCTCTATGCTCCCAAGGCAAACAAAAATCTTGTTTCAGCTTATCGTCTTACTTGTGATAATTTTGCCTTCATAGAATTATATCGTAAATTTTTCTGTATAAGGAACTAGCCACGAAGAGAACTCTGCTTAGGGGTCGATGTCATAAAGGACTATATGCTCTTCCTCCTGCATCGCCAAGCCAACACCAAATAAAGTCTTCACGCCATCCTTCGAGAGGTGGCATAGTCATCTTGGTCATTCTTCCTACACTGTCGTAGAAAAGGTCATTAAAAGTCATAAGTTGTCTTGTCTAGATGTGTCCAATAAAATTGTTGTATGTGATGCATGTCAATGAGCAAAAAGTCATCAATTACATTTTCCTAGGTCTTCTAGTGAGCCTAAATATCCTTTGGAACTAATTTTTTCTGATGTTTGGGGTGCTGCTCCACAATCTGTTGGTGGTTTTAAATATTATGTGAGTTTCATTGATGATAATAGCAAATTTACATGGATATATTTGCTTAAGTATAAGTCTGATGTCTTTTAGAAGTTTCATGATTTTCAACAACTAGTTGAAAGACTTTTTGATAGGAAAATTATAGCCATTCAAACTTACTGGGGTGGGGAATATCAAAAACTTCACTCCTTTTCAAAAAGCTGGTACCACCCATCATATTTCCTGTCCACATACTCACCAACAGAATGGGTCTGCTGAAAGAAAGCACCGTCACATAGTTGAAGTGTGTCTTTCTTTATTAGCTCATTCTTTTATGCCACTAAAATTTTGGGATGAAGCTTTTCTTTCTGCACTCTATTTGATTAATCGCACCCCTAGTAGAGTTCTCGATGACATATCTCCATTGGAAAAACTTTTTACCAAATAACCTAACTAGATGAAGCTTTTCTTTCTGCACTCTATTTGATTAATCGCACCCCTAGTAGAGTTCTCGATGACATATCTCCATTGGAAAAACTTTTTACCAAATAACCTAACTATACAGCCCTTCGTATCTTTGGTTGCTCTTGTTCGCCAAATTTACGTCCTTATAATAAACACAAACTCCAATTTCGTTCCAAAGAATTCACGTTCCTTGGTTATAGCATCTTTCACAAAGGGTTCAAGTGCCTTGATTCCTCTACTGGGAGAGTTTATATCTCTCGCGATGTAGTATTTGATGAAAACAAATTTCCTTTTGCCAAATTACATCCAAATGCTAGTGCACGTCTCCGCGCCAAAATTAATCTTCTTCCCGATGCATCATCACTAGTATCCCTGGGTCAACAACAGCGTTGTCATGTGATTAATTCTCCTGAAAGTTTTGATGAAAATCCTGAAGTTTTACAGCAAATACATGATGATTTAGCCACATATGACAATGAGGACAGTGGTTCACAACAACATGCGGGAACGGCGACCGAATCTGCCTCGTCTGCCGTGATGCTGTCCTCGGGATCGGTGTCGTTGCATTCGCCTACTTCTTCCGTGCCGTCAGCTCCGACTTCACCGCCCGAGCAATCGCATGCTGCCACGTCTTCACCCACACGTTCTTCAGCGTCCTCGGGACCCCAGTCTGGCGTTGGCGCATTCATGTCATCGTCTCACTCTGCTGCGGTAGATTCCACGTCAGGATCTTCTGGTCACACGAGCTGATGAGCACCACAGAAGATCCATCATCAGCTCAGAATAATGATGATGATGATGATGATGATGATGGTCCTCCTCGTCCTCGCACAAGTGTGTGGAATCAGAAAGGAGAAGGTCTACACTGATGGTACAGTAAAATGGGGCCTTTCAATCTCAACTGGTGAGCCACAAAATTTACAGGAAGCTTTGAGCAATAAAAACTGGAAAGATGCACTGGATGCAGAATATATGGCATTATTCAAAAATAAAACTTGGTATTTAGTTCCTCCTCAGAAGGGCACGAATATTATTGACTGTAAATGGGTTTATTAAATTAAGAGGAAACAAGATGGTAGCCTAGATAGATGTAAAGCACGTCTAGTTGCAAAGGGATTTAAGCAACACTATGGCATAGACTATGAGGAAACATTTAGTCCTATTGTTAAGGCATCTGCTATCAGAATTATCTTGTCTGTTGCAGTCTCAAAAGGGGATGGAGTCTAAGACAACTTGATATACAGAATGCCTTTCTTCATGGAGTTCTTGAAGAAGAAGTCTATATGAAGCAGCCACCAAGTTATGAAAATTCTTCTAATCCCGATTATGTTTGCAAACTGGATAAAAATTTATGTGATTTGAAGCAAGCACCTAGGGCCTAGTACTCCAGACTAAGAAGTAAGTTATATGATCTTGGTTTTAGAGGATCTAAGGCAGATACATCGTTATTCTTTTATAACAAAGCAGACTTAACCATGTTTCTGCTCATTTATGTTGATGATATAATTATTGTAAGTTTAAGAAAGGATGCAGTACCAGCCTTATTGCAGTATCTCCAGAAAGAGTTAGCACTTAAGGATCTTGGAGATCTGCACTATTTTCTTGGTACAGAGGTAACAAAGATTTCTAATGGAATATTATT